TGGGCACCTGATGTCCTCCATGTTACTGTCTGCTAGGATGAATGAGGTTTGTGCTAGAAAAGCTTAGATTTGCTATGGCTTCAGAAAATTAGCCTGCTTTTCCAGAATGCCAAAAAGCTTTAGGGAAGTACTTGGTGGCAGTGAAGACTCAGCAGGAGCTGGGCCTTTAGGTAAAGAGATGGAGAGCGTAATGGGGTGAACTTCAAAGCAACATGGAGGACTTTGCAGAGTCTAACCATGGGGGAGCAATATGTGGGAAAGCAAAACTATTGTGTCTCTGCTCCTGAGAGGTTCTCTCATTTTAACATAAGCCATAACCAGCTGAGCTGATTTGGACCATCAGCTGCTGATTATTGTTATTAAATTACAGTCTTCTAGAGATCTTAAATCCTGATTCAGCCGTTCTCAAAGCAAATGCAGATGAATTGCAGACTTAATCCCAGGGTGAGGCATCGTGGGAGCCTGGCACTGAGATGCTTACCTGTCTCATGTCTGCCCTAAGACAGTAGCAGGGATTATTACCTGCTGTTATAAGGATAATACCAGGGAGGGAGCACTGGATACAGGTGGAAAACGATTCCCAAGCAGTATCACTGCAGAAACCGGAAAGACAAGAACAAACCCAGATCACTCAAATACCAGCCTGAAAACTTGCTAATAAAAAACAACCTCCTCCTGAGCATCCTGTCACCACTGTGTCCTCAGTCCTCAGCCGTGGTATGGAGCAGATGTTTCCCCTAGGTAGAGCAGTGTGTCTACCTTGAAAAAGAAGGCAGTGAGGAGAGGAAGACAACAGCAGAGGATCAGTAAAACCAAACATCCCCACAGACGGGGAGGGTTTGCAAATTGCTATACAGATGGATGGCTCAGGAGTTTCACAAAACCTCAGGGGCTCTCTCTCAGCCCTAATGAAAACCGTATGAAACCCAGCAAATTCCAGCACGCTTTGGTCAGGGTCATCAAGCAGAGCCTCTGCGATTTCCAGCGTCAGATGAACCCAGCAGAACGGAGACGTTTCACAGCAAAAGCTGCCCAGGCAGGGGAGGCTCAGCTGTGCCAGCACTGGTTAATGCATGTGTGAGCCTGGCAAAGGTTATCCCACAGCAGCCCTTGGGGACTGGAGGGGTAACTCACTCGTGCGATGGTGGTGACACCCCCTGAGGCCCAGGCTCCTTGGCACTGTCTTTTCATGGGAATCACACTGTGAGCAAGCGAGATGAGGAATTAATGTCTTGTTCTCACTGGGAGCTGAAGCGAGCAGAGGTTGTTTATGCCTTTTGGACAAGATTATATGGGAAGTCCGAGCAAGAACAGAAAGTTCTTGTGTCCCCAACAGCTCACCTAGCCCTGCAGGAGATGTGGCCTGGGTTTCTCTCCTGTGGGGTATAAAGCTGGTCCTTTACCACTCACTAAAGCCAATGGGTCGTAATGGTTTTAACAACGTGGGTTAGGTTCATTGGTGCTGGAAGGTACAGTTGCAGAACACACTGGCTTTACTGGCCAAGGTTACTGGTGCTCTCGCCCTTGCTGTTTGTCTTTCAGCATTCAGGCAGACCAGCAGTATTCACAACTGTGGGAAACCCAGTAGCTCACACTGGTGACCGTACCTGAGTGCCCACGGAATAATTCCTCCCTCCCTGGCAAACTTAACTTTTAACCCATTCCATTCCAGCTGCACGTGTGACTGTAGAAAGTTACTCTCTGCTAAGGGCTGGGGATAAAATCCTGAAGCCCTGCTGCCAAACCATACCAGCCTCCCCCACACAACTGGTGTCATAGCAGCTGCCCAGACACGTGGTGCCCAGGCATGGAGAGTGTAGGGGACATCCATGTACTGTGTCAGATGGGAACTGTGCCCTGAGGGAACATCTTGATTTTCCTCAGGGGCTTTTGTGTTTGTTCCCAAGTCTTTCACCAAAATAGAGTAAATATTTCCCCAGGACAGGCGGTCTGGTAGCTGAGCTGGGTTTAGTGTCTCCTGTTGTTCACATCTGCTCAACAGAGCTAATAAATGCCAAGTCTTAGGAGGCAAAGGGGTGTGAGAACAAATCATGCAAGCTGCTGAGCCTGGGGACCTGCAGGCAGAGCCAAGATCACGCTTACAGGGCTCAGGGTGCAGCAGATAGCTGGTGCTGGGGCCAGCCATGCAGCGAGCTATTGTCTGTAGGAACACAGCCCTGCCTGTGCCAACAAGGAAGGAGCAAGAAAAATCAATCACCCAAAAGACTGAGAAACTGTCACCCTGCTACATGTTGTCCCTCCCTGTATTTCTCAGTCCCCAAAGGGCCCAGAACACCATCTACTTCTGACGTGTGCGCTTGGTCCATTACCCCCATACATCAGATGCTGGTCACGTCACACTGCTGGAAGGAGCTCCACTGCTGCAAGCATGAGAAGGGCATTGATACTCATCACAGCCTTGGTTCAGCTGATGAAAAAAGAGCTGGCACTTTGCTGGGTGCTGTACACACTTCCCTGTGTGACCTATGGCCCGCACATCATCTCCACCTAATCCTTGCCAGGCCAGCCCAAAGATCACAAGTGAGGGACCTCATGACGGCTGGATTAACTAGGATCCACAGAACTTTTCAAAAATGTAAGATGAGGAGCTATTTGAGGGAAACAACTTGATTTATATTATTACAGCTTTCCAGTGGTAGAAGATTCCACACAGCCACCACGATGCAGGCAACATCACAGTCTAGAGAGTTAAGGTGCCTTATCAGAAATGATCTTCACAAAGTCAAAACCAAAGCTGAAACTCAAGGCTGTTGTACTCCCTGTACTACCCAGTGAGCCATACATCCTACTGTATTGCATTTGGAGCTAAAAAGCTGGCTACGGACGTGGGTGCCAATAAGAAATGGTGTCCCCCAGCCACCATCAGTCTCTGCATGCAAGGCTGGTGAGGAACTGTGATGCTCCCTGAAGCTCTCTCATTTTCATTGAAAACAGCCCTGAGGCTGATACATCCAAGTCCTCCTGAGAACCTTTTGATGGTTCATCTGTGCAAACGCCAGCACTGGTCAGAGCAATGGCAAGGAGCTTGCGTGAGCCTTTTCCCAGGGAGTTCTGGTTACCGTGTTTGGACACTAAACAAGAAACCTGCATTACTTCTGTGTGGGACAGGACTCTTCCTAATACCAGCGAGAGGTCATCCTTGGGGCATCCTTGTGCCGCTCCCCAGCAGAATCTGGCCAGTTTAGTGTTTCTCCTTGCTTTGTTTTCCTGGCTTTTCTGAACAGCAGCACTGGCATAAAGAGCTCATCCTGCAAAGAGTAGTATTACCCTAGCAATTTCTGGCATGAAGTCAAAGCCACCCTTACACCCAGGCCTTGGCTTATTTAGATCATGCATATTATCCAACAGAGAGAAATGGACACCAGCTCTATCTGCAGGCATTCACACAATGCAACGAGCAATTTCACTTGTTACCAAAACTGCCTGGGGACAGATGATATTGGGGCGCCAGGGACATTGCTTAGCATGTGATGACACCAGTGTGCACTCACATGTGGGCTTTCTGGATGTGTTTGCATGGGTTGTGCCTCACCTGGAGTCAGAAGCATTGCTGCCTTTGCAAATAAGGAGGAGGAGGAGGAGGGTGATACTGAGGCTCACCAGCCTCGGGAGGAGGAAGGTGCAGGGCACTCGCTCCCTGAGCAGGAAGTGAGTCCTGGCCCTTGGGGCAGATCTGCTGCATCCACCTTTGGTTTTAGGACATTTTCTCTCCTAGACAAGGAGATCTTGGATGAGACCAGGACGCGATTCCTCTTTGCTCCAAGATTTACTGGGAGGACTTTTCCAGACCACATTCCTTCCACACAGAAATCCAGCTCCAGAAGAGCGTTCTGGGAGAGGGCTGCAAACGATGCCTCCAGGGTTACATTCTTGGGCTGGTGGATGAATCATTTTCCAGTCCCACAAGGGAAAAGCCCATCTCCAACGCACTGGTGGAGGGAGGGGATTTGAACAGGATGGACTGGTTTCCAAGTTTCTGGCAGTTGAGGCAGCTTCAGAGTGAAGCTGAAGGAGAGCCATTAGTACGGAGCAATGTGCGTGTTTGCACATCTCTCTGGTCCTGGCAGCTGCAGTCTTTACTTCCTCTGCAGCAGGCAGCATGGGGATTGCTGCTCTGATAACCTGCCTGGGGAGCAAAAGGACCTGCCGTTTTAAAAGGACCGTGCTTTCTACATAGGAAGTGCATGGTCCAGAGCTGCTTGTTTGCATGAATAACTGACAAATTAGAGATTTCTTCGGAACATTTTTCACTTCACCCACAAAGTGGTGATTATTCAATAAAAACCCACACCCCAGCTCTCAGCCTTTTCAGCCAAACTCCAAAGCACTTAAAATCTCCGATGATGCAGGCTTGAAGCTATTTCCTTACAGCCTCTTTCTCCTCTCCTAAACCAGCCTTTCCAGCTGGATTACACTTCCCAAAGGCTCCTCTAACGCTGCTTCACTGGGGTGCTTTGCCCTGAAAGCAAATTATCAGCAAATCAGCATCCTTCCTTGCCACTGGGAGCTTTCAGAACATTTGCTTTACAAGATGAGATGCATTCGTGCCAGAAAATCCCAGCTGCAGATATGTACCTGCAGGAACACATGGTGCCTTGCTGTCCAGAGACGCTGGAGTGGTCCAGGGAAAGAAGCATCACCAGCAGTACAGTGATGGTGGCAGGGTGCATGCTCTGTTTGTCTAGATGAGGGGTGTCTCCCCTTACACAGGGAACTACGAAGTGTGAAGGATCCTGAAGAGGCCATACGTGCCTGGCAGCTTCTGGAGTCTGCAGACTCACACTCTGCCAGAGTGCAGTCCGGATTTGTTGTTCAATACCTCCACTAAAGGGAGTTCATAGATCCTCCAGGTATCCTGCTTTCATGTTGGAGAAGAGGGAAAAAAGGGAAAAGGGAAAAAAAGGATAAAAAGATAAAAAAGGAAAAGAAGGGCGGGGGGGGGGAAGGAAAAAAGGGAAAATAGGGAAAGAGGAAAGATTTCAGTTGGAAAGGACCTACAACAATCATCTTATTCAACTGCACCATGCATCCTTGCAGCTAGGACATAGTTCTGCGGCAGTCCTAATACATTGCTGAAATCTTTTTGTTGAAGGTAGAGCTGTCTTCCAGACATGAGACAAATCTGACATTGTGCTGAAAAGCAGGTGTTTATCCTGACAACAACCTCCTCTCTTCTAGAATAACCTCTCTGTGTGCTGCTTTCCTACAGGCCATGCTTTCTGTACCCTCCTTTCTGTGGCACTCCCCGTCCATTTTATCTATAATTTCTGCCCTAGAGCACACTGGCACTGAGCACAGCTCCAAAGTCTCTCTGGCATCCAGAAGAGCAGCAGCAATATTTCCCAGATTTCACATAACTCCCCATTTGAATATATTCCTCGAATGAGATGGTATTTTTTTGTTGGCAAGGGTTTGGTTTTTTAAACTCGTGGTTGTTTTTCCTTCTGAAGGATGGCGGAAGTGATCCAGACCTTGTCAGCTGCCACATCTCCCCACTCCTTTTCTGCAGCATGGCTTCTGGTCTCTATTCATGTATTTGATCTGCTTGGATTTGTCATGCAGGGAGATCTCTCTGCTCACATCTCTAGTTTTAATCCTCACTGTGAAAACTCACCTCTGCTCCTCATAGTGTTTGAACTGCAGATTGCTTCCCCATGGCTTCAGAGATCCATCACCTGCACTGCTTCCCTGGTTTGGCTGGGAGACAATCAGTCAGGTGCAACTCCATCCACAGCCCCACTGACAGCAACATGATTTTACATGGTCCTTCCCTAAAACAGCAGCAGTGTTTAAAACAATGCCTCTCTTTTATCTTCCTCTAGCATGATAATTCAATTTGCTCAAGGCAGTAACCAAAACCATGCAGGAAAGGGTTCTCCCTGAGGGAAACTGCATTAAGAAGTGATCTTTGGAAAGCCCCACAGAGCTTAAGTAGATGACTTTGAGATAGGAGGGTTTAGGAATTTCGCATCACTAAAGGAATTTTTGCTCAAATTTCTTGTAAGCAATACACTCTGGATCAGGCTGAGAGAGCTGAAGGATGAGCAAAGCTATGTTACATACCTCTGCACAGGCAACAAATGGAGATGAACATTGCCTGGACCAGGTAACAGCAGGGAAAACACTGACCTCAAGAGGATATGACTTTCTGGCCATAGGGACCTAATGACTTGGGCTGACCTGTGATGAGGGAGGCTTCTCCCAAGACAGGTTTTCCCAGCAAAAAGCATCTGATGTTATTTTTCCTGATGTTGAATGTTTCCCAACTCGGGCAGCTGAAGTGCTTTGAAGTTGCTGCCTCTGTTGCAGATATCAAGGCAGATTTGGTACCTGACAGCTTGTGCTTCCCATCCTCCTGCCCACCCTCGCCCAATAAAGTCATTCTCCCCTCCTACCTTGCCACTGTGCAGTTTTAAGCAGAGCATCAGGATTAAGCTCTGAACAGACATTCAGGAAAGCAGGACCGTGCCTTCACACAGTTTACCAACTTGGATTGGGATCATCCAGAAATCAGCATCTCACCCTCCAGTTCTTTCCCCTGAATAGTGGTTTAAGGCTAGCCGCAACTTAAAATTGAGTGTTCAGAGGCCAAACAGAGGACACTGGTACTGCAGCAGCCTTTGCTTTCCTATTTCTGTGTTTCTTTCAGTACAGTAGTGCAGTTATATATAACAGCCCTCAGACCAGCTCTTAAGGCTGTTAGCAAATAAAAGTAACGAGGCTATAGTTGCCGCTCATTTAAGGAAAAAATGGGAAGTATTAACACCAAACTGTTTTGAACTTAGAAAATGTGACTGTTTTTTTCATAAAACAGGAGAGATGAGCAGAAAATCTGTGGGAATTCACAACTTTGCAGTTTGTTTTGATAAAAGATTGTAATTTAAAACATCTTTTCTCCTACAGCGAGACCTTTGACATCCCAGACTGAAGCTAGAAGTCTGTGGGAGCAATCATGCATTCCCCCTCCATCAAAATGATCCGCTAGAACTCACCTAGTTAGTCCTTGATAGATCATATTGCACCAAGATGATTTTATAGGCTACAGCTGAGGCTTAATCTTATCCCAGTTTTGCTCCAGACATTGTGCTCCAAATTTCCAGCTTCTGCTCAAAATAATACATCAAGAGCAAGCCTGTGCCATGAGACAAGAGATGGGAGGTTTGTGGATGGGCCACTTTGAGGTGCTGTGCTGCACTGGGAGTCGATACCTGTGGGGAAGCAGAGACAGGAGATGGTTTGTGGTTTTATACCAGGATGCAAAGAATTTATTTGATCAGTGAACCCAAGCTGTTCTAGCTCTTGGCTATTATGTGAGCACAGCCTGGGTGACCCAGATCCAAACCAAAGCTGATGCAATGGCAGGATATGGAGACACAAGCAAGATTAGGCTTTTAAGAATACTTTTCTCTCTCCAGTCCTTCAGCTTTACAAAGGCACACACCACTGCAATGGAGGAGGTTTCTTGTAGCTAGCCTGGCCCCTTACCACAGCAAACATCTGCGGCTGGAGGACTGCCACAGAGCTGAGAGGGTGATGCTCTCCTATGAAGACAATGGGATGCCTACTGGTTTGGGCTGCAAGCCAGTATGGACTAGTAAATCAAACATGCCCCGGTCAAGTAAAGACTGGCAGTATCCCATCATCCACAGCCCATGCTCCTGTACCTGGGTGGTGAGTGCATAGACTTGATACTTGGGGAGGCCACACTGTGGACCATGGACTGGGACACAGGGGATGCAGGGCCCATGATAAAGCTGTGCCACAGGTCTCCTACATGATCTGGGATGGTGTCCCCTCTTCCCATCTGTAAAATGAGTATGTTGCCCCTTAATGGCACTGAGGAACACAAAACAATAACAGCTTTCTTCTCCCCTGAAGGCAGAGACCTATACACAACTTTGATTTCTTGTCCCACCAACCATCTCAGCAGCTAACCATGTTTCACTTCCCTCTGGGTTAAGTTTCATCAGCTCCTGAACCACTTCATTTGCTGGAGCAGTTCTGTACATTTATTAAGCTGCTCATCTTGCTGGAGGATGAGCTGCCATTCTCTTGAATTATGGAGATTCATAAAGATCTGATTTCTGCTTAACTAATATCATGGAATAGTTCTAAGGGGATATTGCCTCTAAGGCTGAAAATATTATTAGGGAAGAGAACCTACTATTACGGCTAATTAGTAGCTCTGCTTCAGCGCTTCTGTCTCCAGGATGGAGCTGATACCATTTTGCTGATGAGACCCCTAAATATGGGTGAAAGTATAGAAAATGGGGGGGTTGGACTAGATGATCTCCAGAGGTGCTGTCCAACCCCACCATACCATGCTGTGGAAGCCAGCACTTGTGCAATCCCACCTGTCAAACCCAGTATTTTATAAAACATACCAATAAAGCACCAGAGCAGACAACCTGGTTACAAAGAAGTTAAAAGAACGTGATTTTCTATGAAGTTGAAATTTAGGAAATGTGAAACAGCCAGAAAAACTGGTTCCCTTTGCTACCCGCAGATGACTCACTGCAGGCAGATGAAAAGCAGTTATCCTCTAGCTCCTAAAACATGGATTTTCAGGAAAGCCAGGATGATAGGGAATCAAATGAGACAAGGCAGGAGCCTTTACAGAAGATATTAGAAACATATTATTTGTGGGTTTTTTCTTACCCCTCGGAGGATGGGAACTCAGGTAATTTCCTTCCTTTCCATCAGAGTGAAGGTGAGAAGCAGCTGTGCCCCAACAGCATTCAAGCTATGGAAACAATTCAAGGAGAAACAGGATCTTGGAGAGATCAGAGACACATTTAACATCAAATCATTAACTGGAGCCTGACCTTTTCCCTGGCACACAATATATCACTGTAAAGGTTGGGAGATGCCTCTCAAGGAATTTTTCTCCTTTTAATTTAAATTCTCCATATTGGCTGGGTTACATTAGTTGAGTTGCACCTTTATTCTACCTCTCATGAGGAATATGTATTCACAGATAATCTGAATTTTGGAGCACAAAGAACACCTTTGTTTTGCAGACAGACATGCAGGCGTTACTTGTAGTGGCATCCCCTTAGCTCCAGCACCCCCAGGGCCCATGGGGCTGGAGGCTGCCCATGATTGGCAGTCAGGAATTTGGCCCAGGCATGGATCCCAGCCTGGGATTTAACTCTGAAGGCAGCCTCCCCCTCACCATGGGAAGGCAGGAAAACCTGCGGTGCTTATTTAAATCCTTTTTCACTCTTCGCAAGGGCAGCTTATATTAATAAACAGATTGATTCAAGGCTGGAGCTGCATCTTGTAAAAAATACGGATGGCTCTAAGAGGATGAATGAATCTTCAACTTAAACACAAGCGGCTCCCCCATGGTGCACGATATTCCCCGGTGATGCCAGATGGGGTTTGCTTCTCCCATGTGCATCTGAAAATACCCATCAGAACTTTTCTGGCCCCATGTTGTCTCACTGGTGAGCACACAACTTCCCTTCTAGTAACTGTGTTTGCCTACTCAAATGGCAATACAAGCAAGATTAAAATATCGTGACTAAATCATGGAATCCACCAGCTTGGAAAAGACCTTTAAGATCAAGTCCAACCGTTACCCCAGGCCTGCCAAGGCCACCACTAAGCTATGTCCCTAAGGGCCTCATCCATATGGTTTTTGAACACTTCTGAATGAGAAGAGTGGTTTCACTCCCCAGAATTTCTGAGGATTCCAAGGGGTTTAGTATGACCTCCGATCCAGATGTTTTGCACTTGGAGAAATAAAACAACTAACACTAGGGGAAATCTGCTCAGTCCTCTAAAACAAAGGGCAAAAGAGTGGGAAACAACTGAGCAAATAGCATGTCCAAGGCATGCTGGAGAGTTTGTGGCAGAGCTGTTGGGGATACACTGGTTGGATAAACCCTCATTGGGTGCTGGAGCTGCAGAGCCCTTCACTCTCACCAGGACAGGTGGACATCCCATTCCCGGGGACAACTTGCCAGGAGATGGAAAAAGACACGTGGGAATTGTAGAATCAAGGAACAGCTGAGGTCGGACGAGACCTTGCATCTGGTCCCACCTTTTGTGGAAGGGAAGCCTGGATAAGGTTATCCAGCACGCTGTCCAGTGCCATCTTGAAAACCTCCAGCGATGGAGACTCCACCATGTCCCTGGGGAGGTTGTTTCTGTCATTGACTGTTCTCACTGTAAAAAATTTCTTTCGCATTTCAAGATAAAGCCTCTCCCAGCGTGACTTGTAGCTATTGCCACGTCTTCTCCATAAATCCCTGTGAAGAGAGAGCCTCCATACTCCTTACAGCCACCTTTTAATACTGGAATGCTGTCATGAGGTCCAGGCAGAAGAGACCCAACTCCCTCAGTCTTTCCTCATAGGGCAGATTCTTCCAGGTGGGAAAGACCATCAACTGGAAATGCAATGACAGCAGAAAGCAGGGAGATGGACTGCCAGCTGGGGCTTACACGTTGCAAATCCACCTTCTCGCAGCAAACGAGAGCGTGATGGCCATGTAAAACCAGACAATGCACTGACAGGGAGATCCATCCCTGCAAGGGTGCTACATCCCCTGGCAGATGCAGCCCTTCTGGCCTGGCCTCAAGCCCGGGGTGCCCGGCTGCTGTCCCCCTTCACCCCATGCGCTGGCTCAGGTCTTGGCACAGCTCAGGGCATGTGGGTCGGCAGGGAAGCGGAACAGGCTACGGAGTGATGCCTTGTTATACACCTGCCAGCTTGGCACCAGATTTCTTCCCTCATTTTTTCCTCCCCCTCCTGGAGACTTAACATTTGTCCACTGTCCTCATGATGCGCTTCAGCCAAATCCCGATACAAAATGATGCCGCTTTAAAGAGAAAGGTTAGTAGCAAAGCTTTCGTGTGTGTGCGTGCAGAAATGGTTTACCACACTAGGGAAGGTGTAAGGATGTATTTTTGAATTCAGCTATTCAAGAAATACTAATTTCCCTCTGTATTTTTCAGGTGTTGATCATATGTTTCTGCATTTTCATGGAAGGAAAAATAAATGATCAGTAACTAAAATTACTGCAAATACTTATGTGCCCTGTACTCTGCTGTGGGGCTACCAGTTCCTTTTCCAAAGGAAACTCAGCATTCATCGGGCAAATGAAGACATTGCCTCTGAAATACTAAGGGAGGTTTTTAACCAAAGGAAGATGCTATCTGTGGACCAGTGGAGTGCAAAACCTGGTAGGAGATTCAGAAACCAAAGCTGTGGTGATGATTTTACTTGAGATAATGTCTTCTAAATTTCCTTTACGGCGCCTTTAAAAGCTAACGCTGCACAGCTGCACCACCTCGTGGTGCGACCAAGCCCTGCATTGCCCAAGCCTTTAAAATCCTCTCCATTTCCAGGAAATTTTGATGATTGATGGGTGTATAAAAGCCAAGAGCACCCATCACCAACCCACGTCACACCTCGGCCCACCACAGCCCAGAGCCACGAAGTCACCTCAGACCTCCCCCAGCTCCACCTTCCTCTTGCTCATTCTCCTCTCTGGGATGAAACAATCCAACCGTTTCCCAACTGCAACCATCATTATCCCAAATATTTGCCAGTATCCCTCCAGTTACTATTTCAAGATCTGTTCAGCAGGTCAGGGATCAGGCCAGTGAACTATTATTCATCTGAACCTGCCTTAACCAAATTCCTAAGAAGTGTTACAGAGGACTCAGGGAAGATCAAAGCTCCAGTATTTAAAGAAAACATTAAAAGGAAAACACAGGGTCAGACAGGTAGGTACAAAGCCCTGTGACACAGAGCCAAAGGCAGGACCCGTACGTGCTTAGTCTTAGCCCTACTCTTAACGCAGCACTAGGCCCTGGTAAGCTAGAAATGGGCTCGGGTCTCCACAAAAATCTCCCTCCCCTCATAAATGCGTTTGTTCATTAAGGAACAAAATGGTCCATGACACCAGGTATTATGCCCAGAATTCAGGTGCATAAAAATACATGCATGTATCTACAGTTCCCAGTGTCTCACAGTATGATATACAGCAACCAGGTGATTATGGAATCAGAAAAAAAAATCCTAAAAAAACATTTGTAAAATTATTTTCCTATTCAAAACCACACAAAGATATGTCAGGCTTTTGTACTCTGTGGGGTAACTTGCTAGCAAGTGCTTAACTTACACCAGACTCCTTCAGCATGATACTCACACGCTACTTACTATGTGAGGGCATAACTCAAGGGACATATACCAGATGAAATGCAGCTTCACTTGGTCACCTTGAGAAAATCCAACTCAAGTAAAAGGCAGCTCCCCGAGTTCACTCCAGGTATAAATGTTATTTGACTGCAGACTGGTCGTCACTGGTTAACACAAGACCAGTGTCAGGTCACCTGCTCAAAACCACCACGGATGGATGCACTCACAACAGGCACAGAGAGATGCCACTGCAGCCTGGAAGAAAAAGCAGCAACGCGCCTCCTGATCTGCTCTAAGCCCCAGTAATCTATGCAAACCAGGGGTGGACATGAGGAAACCACTGCTGGCTTTAGGGGGTGCCCCGAGTGCAGTATGAGGGGTGCTGCACACAAGAACTACACCAGGGTTGTACCTGGAACCCCAGCATCATGTTTTCTTCTGCTGCCTTATGCCCTCCCAGAATCCAGGATCTGCTATGATCCTATGAAGTCTCTGCTTCCACCCATAAACCCCCATCCCTCCCCAGTATTTCCCCCATGAAGAATGACATGTGGAGGGAGAAGGGGATTTCTAGGAGTGGACCTCAACTATATGCATTATCAGACATGAAGAGGATGAAAAAAAAATAACACAGATAGTTTATTGTCAAACTGAATCAAAGCTTGAAAAAAAGAGAAATCACAAAGCTACACCGTAAAGGAATTTGGTTTTCATCACAGAAGCTCATTAAAATGTGACAAAGAAAACAACCCACTGTCAAGCCGGTAACTCCAACAACCCTCAGACTCTCCAAGGGCAACATGTACTGAAGTGGTGGGTATTCACAGGTGGTGCACACTGCATTTGTATGAACAAAACCATCATCCCTCGTGATCTAGAAGAACAGTGGTTCTCAGAGGGGGTGACAAGTTTCTGGCTCAGCGGTGACTCCTCTGTTCATCTTCAAGTAGCAACAGCCTTATCCTTGCTGGAGTCTAGCCTGAGATGATGGCCAAGGCTGAGGGGGCCAGCTGTGTTTCGTTTCTTCATCCAACATTCTCCTGCAATTAGCATCCCAACCAAATGTGTGTCTACAGCAGTAAATTAAAAGGCAGTTACAAAATTAAGCAATGCTGGTTGCACACATAAGAGTGGCAGAGGCACAATTACAGCATAGGGTCCACCAAGGTCTGGAGGATACAGCTAAGCTGACACAGCCACCACCTCAAAAAATTCAGTTTGCTGCAGACTTTAGCAATGACCAATCTAACCTTTTTCAGTTGCTGTTTGGGAAGGTGTGTAACTGCAGATGCAGACCTGCTTTACTGACAGAAACTGACCTCTATGAAGTCCAAGATGTTAGTGTATGCTCTGTGCTTCAGCATCACTGATTAACACGGCAGCGGGCAGATACATGACAACCTGCTCCTCAGCAGGATCCCTCTGGAATCACACTTGAGGAGGCTTTAAACAAAACACTCCTTGGAACTTTTCCAAGTCTGGGTTTGCCAACCTGTCCCAACCAATATACTACCCAAAGATCATTTATTTTCCAGTAGCTCCAGCAGAACCAACCAAAGAGCCCTGGTCTCCTGCCAGCATAGCTGAGTTGGTAGGAAGTCCGCATCACAGAAGTCGCTTGCCAAGAAAACTGCTGGAGACTGCAGGATCCCCTGGAGCTGCAGCCCACCTGGAAGAGCCCTATCCCATCTTGCAGGGAATTAGAGCAGTTGGCTTCCTTCTGAGTCAGAACACAATAAAAAGGAAGGGGAAAAAGTACTGGAAGGCATATACATGTACAGAGTATTCTGAATTCTGCAGACACTTAGTTTCCATCAGTCAGGACAACAGTATCTTTCTCACCACTATAAATGAGCTGTTTTATGAATTTTGAATACTTGTTTACTGAGTGAAAGAAAGGCATTTTTATCCTAAGTAGCAGCTAAGGAGATTGGCAAAATTAAATCATAATAATTAAAAAAATACAACTAAAAATAATCAAAGAATCCAACCCACCAGTACAAAATAAAGGCAGTCTAGGTCATTCCAACTGATCACAGAAATAGATAACTACTATTTTTAATTGCAACTAATGTGCTATCTTGATCCAGCTGCTTATTCTAACAGGCCTGAGGTTTACTGCTCATAAAGCATTAATAATATGTGCCTTTTCCTAGAAAGGAGGGCTCTGTCTAAGTCTTACTGTGTCAGATAAAAAAATCCCAAAATAGACTATCCAACCAAATAAAGTGTTTTATTCAGATATTCACTTGGGTATGGCACTGATGTTAAGAACAGCTATTCAAGAAGCTGAAGAAGCCCTTCAAAAGAAGTCACACAGCTTTGAGACTTGAAAAAATTATTGTATGATCTCATCCAAGAGATCTAAATAGCTGGAACGTGTGCAAGAGTCACCACCAATTTATTTAGCCGAGTTCATCAGTAGTTCACCAGCTCTGTTTGCACAAGCAGGTGCCAGGACATTCAATAAGGAGTCATATACATGACTTAAAAAGAGGAGAGGGGGAAGAGAGTGGAAGAGAAATGGGTGATTTTACTATCTAAAGTGGATGTGCATCAGCAGGAATAAAGTTCCTCTCAAATTAGGGCAGTGCCTATTATGGAAGGAGAAGTGCAGAAACTCTTTTTCCCAGAGAAGTATTACATGCACAAGTAACTATATTGTTAAATTTTTTTATTTGTGACAGTAAAGAAACCATTCAATACCTGATTGACAACACTTCTCTTTCCTGAAAACACTCATATGCTGTCTGTAGTGTTTCTCAAGTATTGCTGGATTGTTCATTGCATTAACGTGTAAACGGCTCCATTATTAGGAACAAAAAAGAAAAAAAAGAAAAAAAAAAGAGAAAAAAAGAAACATTTCCATTGCTTACTCCTCTATTAAGAAGTTCCCAATAAAGCATTAACAAGAATGAAGAGAAAAAAAGAAATCAGCTGGGATTTTACAATATAATGTGAAACAGAAAACTGACAGCTGGTTTTGCATAGTTAGCCCAGAGATTTTTAAGCAATTGCTCCACGCAAGTCTCACCTGCCCTCCTCACCCCACAAAGGCATAACAACATCACAGCACCTTGGAAATCAGAGGCACAAACTTGGTTTTGTTTTACAAATAGGGCTGTGCAGTACTGTGTTTTATTAGTTTAAAAAGAATCTGTAAAACATAAGATTATGTGTTTGCAAATTATATAGCTACAGATTTTTTTTTACACTGAAATTTCAAAAGCTGCAACATCCGTACACACCACTGTCATTTAGATACTTTATTGTCCCCAACCAGTCTAATCAAAATCATGCTGTGATAAAGTGATTGCATACATTGATAACCAAATGTCTTCAGGTGTTGAGTTTCTTCCATGTATAGCTTTGCTGTTCAAAGAAAAGATTGAAGGGCAAAACAAACAGACAAATTATTCTTCCAAAGCTACCTAAAGGAACACAGCAACATTGTACATTTGCTACGCTTCTCCATTCAAAACCTGCCACGCTTCCTGGTGGTTAACAAGTATTCTGTGCACAGCCCTAGTTTACAAATGGCAATTTAATCATAACACTTCAGTTGAATTTCAAGAATCTAAGGCATTCTGCCTTACAGTTTAAGTTAAAAATACCTATACAGGCAAAAAACCTTTTTTAACCCAACATAAAAAGGACAACAGAACTTCAGGCCAGGCAGCGTTGTTTCTTTAGCTGAACAGAATGACCAACTGGAAAGGACATCTTAACACTTCTATAATATCCAGAAATAAAAATTGAAACCCAGGGTTTATAACAGCCCTGGTGACCTGCATGCATTAACTGCACTTCAAAATATGCAAGAGCTTTAGGAAACAAGTATTTTTTTCCTATTTAAAATACAATCAAATACCCGTATTGCAAATTTTACAAACATTCCACTCATTTTCTGACTTTATGGACAGAACTATATTGCTTTGTTAAAATCTAGAAACTCTAACTATATAGCGTATGTATAGTCACGCAAACTTAACACTTGAAATTTCAAGTATGATGATAGTGTCAAAATAAACCACTACGGCAGTTTGATCCCTTTGGCCAAATTTGATAACCCAGGGAAGTTCAAACCTGACTGCAGAGCACTCCAAGTTTTACTTCAATGGGAGTGAGTTAAAACACCAATATTTTTCGTCAGAAGTTACAGAAAATACTCTTAAAACACTAGCAGAGATCAAAACTGTTGCTAAGTTTTTTCCTTTACATTATCACCAAATGTCGTTTTAAGTTAAAATAAATTTGTTTTTTGAAATTCAATTTCAAGAGCCCAAACAAACATTACAGAACAAGTAGAGAACACCATCAGAACCGTTCCTACAGAAGCTGGTGCAGAAGTTCAGTTGCCCATTATATGTGGATTTTAAAACAATACAAGACACTTTAATAATCAACATTCATTCACAGACTTAAGGCAACTGGTTCATGAAATCGCTGCTTTCATAAATGCAAACTAATGACATGGTTTGTCTCACATACAACAGGTCACAACCGTTACATGGTAATGTCTCGGTGGGGTTATTTATTGTCTAATTGCAAGATTGTTTGGTCTAATGCTAGTGAGAAATCTTTGAATTTTTTCAGCCATTCCTATCATACCTGCACAACTAACTACAACCTGAATACTTCCCTGCAAACTGTATTTGAAGCCTAGAAGCTACAAACACAGTTGAAAATACTGCTCAGAGAACAACTTTTTGGCAGCTTAGAGTTTCATTACTCTGAAGTCAAATACAAAATTAAACAATCTTAAACTGAAAGTAAACGTTAATGGACTAACCAGAATCCATACGTCCTTTTTTCTTTTTCATTTTTTATCAATGTACTTTTTTAATGTGACAGTTTTGTCTTTTGTTGTGGCACAGAACTATACAGTACTAAGGTAACGCCAACTGGTAAGAAAACAAAACGGTAATGCCGTACAGACTCACGAGCGTCATGGGACTGCCTCTAACACCCCTCGCTACCAGACACAGTGTGCAGCTGGTGCACAGCTGCCCTGCAAGGGGCCAAAGTCATCTTTCGGTTTTATACTGCACCTAAGACAACCTACTCACTGCCTGTGTAGGCTGGCCTGCCCTTCTATGAAGGAATTTGTTAAGCTGCTTCACCAATGTTTTAGACAAGGATGATAATTCCAAGTCCATCACAAAAATGTTTTTCCAAGTCGTCAAGACATTTTGAGAAAAACAGAAAAGGCAAAGGGGGATCTACTATTCAGTATTTAGCACAAGGCTAATTAGAAGCACCAATTACACCACTTAGTTTTCTCAGACACTGGCCAAACATAGCTGTAATTTTTATGTTTGCAGATTTCTGGTGCGTACAATAATTAAAAGGTGACACTGGTAAGTGGGATTAAAAAAAAAAAAGGCACGCCTTGTTCTTCAAAGGCATAAAATATTTGAAGGTTATTCTTCTGAAAGGGATCTATGACACTACAGAAGATGCTAAGCAGGCTCTCAGATTCAGAGATGAGACTTACTCAACCACAAAGCCAGAGGACTGGTTTTAGTCCAGGCTAGCAACTTCTGCCCTTTTAGCAAGACTCAATAAAGCTACTGATCTGCACCATACACCTTGGGGAAGAAGAATATGAATCAGAGATGTGGGAAAAATGCTTTTTGCAATTTTATATACCAAAGAAAGAGAGGGCTTCATCCCAACTGAAAAAAAAATCCCTAAAAAAACCAGAATCTTTTACAGGTCACCTTTAACTGAATTTTCTGGTATATCGGATACCATAGGATTAATACATTGGGGTGGGTTATGAAGCCTGTATTTTATTTATTGCCCAAGTCTGCAGCTTACGGAAAATGTTTCATAGCACAGGCACAGTGGCAAAAACAGTTTAACAGCCGATGGTCAACTCCATTTGGTGAGTATACAGTAGCAGCAATTAAAAGAAAAAAGTACTCAAAATAGCTCAATACAGATCCAGCTTACCCAGATTTTTTTTGTGTTTTTTTTTAAGAAAAGAATCTTAAAACTAATAAATAGATCTCCTCCCCATTCTCCCAAGATAATGGTTTTCCAAAAAACGAGAGGCATGGCAGTTGTGCGTAAGCAGAGACAACAGAATTTCATCTGTCTAGAATAAAGGGTGCTTTAGATCTATTAGCCACCTTATTTTCTCAATTCCATTATTCCCTAATACTCAAACAACTGCAGATATGTTCAAAACTGTGCCCAAAATCATCAGTGAAACCACCATGTAATTAACCAAGATCATCCCTCCCACAAACGCTGAAACCTTCTGAGCATGACAAAATGTAATACAACTTAATGTCATCGTGGAGACAGGAACCCAGCATCTTTGTTTCAACTTTTTCCTTTGTTATATATTACAGTGCTCTATAAAATTTTTCCTTTTTCCTTTTAAAGCATTTAGACAATACAAGACTAAAAGATGTCTGGAAATACGTCTTATACAAAAATGAATTTTTATCTTAAAATAACATTCAAAAAGGCACTTCATTCTGTAAGAAAAAATTCAGAGTCAGGTCAACTGCTCTAAGCAGGGGGGTAAAATTGTCTGCATAGTGGGAGGGGAAGAAAGGGAGAGAAATTCAACTGCTGAAATACAAGCTTCTTTTTTGGCATGTTTTAAGAAAAGCTGATCCAGTAAAAGATGTCCATTTATGAAATTCATTAAAAGAGTCCCATTTAAAATAGCTTCTTTTTTTCTTTTTTTTTTTTTCCTTTAAAAAAGTAGTCTGAACACATGACCTTAGGAGTCAGGCTTCTGAAGGCTTAACAGCATCACTCATGATTGTCCTTCGTGTCCAATGTAACAGGAAGATCAAGAGTAGCACTTCTGACAGGGGTGACCTCCCCAAAGCTTACATTTGAAAGAGCTGAAAAAGATGGAGACAGCCTCTATCTGCTAGTAGCAGAAGTCAGTCAAAGTTAAGGGCTACCTGTTGCAGAGTTTATGAAGCATACTGTAAACTTCTTCCTCTTTGCTTAGTCCTTCAAAGAAAGGAATAAGATCTAGCAGCTCTGTGTCTGTCATGTCATCAAACCAGGACTGCACAGGCACCTGAAACAAAGCAACCAGCAAATACTAAGATGACTTCATGATATGAAGAACACATGACTTTTGCCTATGTAGGTGCCCTGTAATACTCACTGCCATTACAGTAAGGTGAAGTGCTGGTCATTAGCATTCAAGCCAAGCACCAGGTTCAAGCCACAGGATTGTCTGGGGTTGGAAGGGACCTTAGAGATCATCTAGTTCCAACCCGCTTGCCATGGCCAGGGACACCTTCTACCAGACCAGGTTGCTCCAAGCCCCATCCAACCTGGCCTTGAAAACTGCCAGGGATGGAGCAACCACAGCTTCTCTGGGCAACCTGTGCCAGGGCCTCATCACCCTCACAGGGATATCTAATTAGTAAGTCCACCAAATCAAACTGTAAAATAGCTGACCTTCCAAATCAAACTGTAGAACAACTGACATACAGCTGACCTTCTGTATGTCCAGATAACCTACATTACCCAACACTGGACAGCTGAATTTGCTCAGCAGCCTTGATACTCTATTCACAATAAACCAGAAGGAAGATATAGGTTACAAAGCTGTAGTGACACTATTTACAGGCAAGTCTTTTTTTCCTGTCTAAGTATTATCAGTGTGAGTCACTAAACATAGGCATGCAGCAGCAACCCCTTCTGGCATGACGTTGCAGAGGAAATATTTAAACAGTGAGTACAGAACAGTTCTCGATTAAAATATAAGACCTTGCAAGTCAGTTCAGAAAAATACGCACATAATAACACTTCTTAAATATGTGGGCTGGATTTAGGGAAGGAGTTCTGTGTATCTTTACTATGGAAGTATACTGAGGTCTTTTAAAGACTATCTTGGATCTTGCTACAAGCTCTCTGGTTTCTGCAGAGACTCGAACATCGGTTAGCTAGCAGCACTTTTCTATACGTGATTGAATCACTCTGAAAAGGCCTTTAATTTCATCTCCCAAATTTCTACAGCTCATTACTTTCCTGGCACTGAATTCTGAGATGGCAAGTGATGATCTGGATCAGGTTTTTAATTTTAAGCATGCACATAAATTACAGCTACAGCTCCTGGTTATTATAAATAGCAACTTTAAGCCATGTGTGGCACCAACCAGAAAAATGTTTTCACCTGATCACTTAGGGCACCACAGTATTAGGATATGATCTTAAAAACTGACTGCTGCAAGATAAATAGCTCGTGTTAAAAATAAAAAAGCTATCCCAGAGTGGCAGGACCATGCAAAATGGTGTTCCTGGTAAGAATTTCCTACATTAATTTTAACAGTTCACAGAAAAGGCAGCCTAGAAACATCAAAGAAAACACTGCACAACCTGGTTGTTTAAAAGTCAGTAGATCTAAGGGGAGTTCCAGCTTGCTATGCTGGCAGCTACAAAACAGATGTGAACATCTGTACTGACTGGAGCAATGGATGGAACAAGTGCCAGACCATTCCACCACAGCTTCTGGAGCTGATACGAAACACAGCTAAAATGTGCATGGCTCCAAATTATTCTCCCTTGAAGTACTGCTGCTTGCCTTTTATCCTTATTCCTAAAACTTGATGAACTTGTTGACTAACATTTCTAATCATGAAGCGACTTATCACAAAAATACTTAAAAGAGAAGCATAACACCACAATAGGATCTTGATTTTTTAATTCCCCTTAGCTATGAATGCAGAACTCAGACAGTAACCAGTAAAGCATTAATTATCTTGTCTAATAAAATGTTTTCTTTCACATAATGAAAAAAGATGAAGTACCAAAAGCTATTCTTTCTGAAATCACCATTCCAAAGAACAAAAGATAATGCTGGAGGACAGCTTTGCTTTTTAGAGCTACTTTAGTTTTTCAGGTTCTACACTGCTTGGTATTTCTAAAAACTGACTTCAGACCAATAGCTAAAACTGAAAGCAGACAAATAGTCACGATTATGACACACTGTCAAGATCAGTTTGCCTTAGTCCTTTACCACTTGGCAGTGAACACAGAACCTACCTGCAGTCTAAGAAAATACAGAAACTAATACATGTTAGCGTTCTGAAAGACTATTTTCTGAATCAGGAAGTCTGGGCAAGGATGAGAAAGATAAAGTAACACTTGAGCACCTCGAATAGTAAGAATACTTACTGCATTTTCAGGATGGAAGATGTAAGATGCAGGGGAATTATCTACTATAATAACTTTACTCAGCTCACGTCCCAGTCGACTCAGATCCTTCACATAATTTCCTCGGTGAAAAACACAGGATTCTCTAAAGAGCCTTGCCCTGAACACACCCCAGCGATCCAGTAAGTCAGCTACTGGGTCTGCATACTTAAAAACAGAAGTTAGAAACATGAAGTTAGCAATGTGCAGATAAGGCTAATGTACAGAACTATACAAAAGAAGGGACACAATTTCAGATAAAATGTTCTTTCTTCAATTTCTTCCCTGCTCCTTGTTAATTAACTTACATGCCTGCAAATCTGAAGTGATTGAGACAGAATGCAAAAGCAGGATTGTTATCTTTCTGTGGAAGGCTAACTTGCACTCTAATGCTTTCTGTGATTTATCAATTGGGTTTTGTTCTTACAGCCAACTTACAGTTATGCTAGGAGTTACCTAGAAGTTGATGGATCCAGAGATCTTGCTTATCATTACCATAAAATCAGCCAACGCTAAAAGAAAAATTATATGAAGCCATTTCCAGAATCAATTCACTTCTACGTGCCTCTGAAGACAAACTGCAATGAATGCATCTCAGCTTGATGTAGCTTTAGCAAATAATACCCTTGGAGCGACTGAGTCAGTAAGAATCTTAAGATCACCAAACTGCATAACTGGGCCATAAAAGATCAGACAAAGATATTCTTCGGAAAAACAGTCATGTACAATAGTTGGAAATTCTCATTTTATATGTAAGATGATACTTTGAGTGAGGCACAGCTTCAAATCCAACAATTGATATAAACTGCCCAAAGAAAAATACCCAAATAAACTGGAACAGGAAATAACCATGTACTTGAAAACAGTAGTTGTAACTTATTTTTGCAGGATAGGAGTTACCACTTTCCTATATTTTAAACTGAGAAACAAAACTGATGTCAAAATCAATCATCTTTCTTGACTATGAAAACTGCCAGACATGTAACTGCAGTATGAAACTGTTCCCTTTTTTAGGATTTTCACAATGTGACTGAACAGAACACGGTAAACAGATTGCAGGGAAGAATTCTCTGATAAGAGGGCACTAAAGCAGATCAAACAGGGGCCTGTCCCCTTCCACCATCTCTACACTAGGTTGAAGTGAAAGCTTCCTATGTTACAGTATTATTTAGAAATAAGCAATGTAATTTTACAAACAAGACACCACAAATAGAACACACTGAAAGAAGTGAAGAATTTAAGATGTCTACTACGGACATGTCTACCACAAAACTACCTATGAGGTACTACTGCTACTGGAGACCAGAGGGCACAAAATATTCGTGTTGATGATTCAAGCTTTGCAAAATGTCTAATTTTCTAACTCCAGATTGCAACTGCACCTTGACAGAACAAAAACATGTTCCAATTTTCAGATGCAGTGAACTTCTGAATCACTGGTTGATCATGTAGATAGCATTAAATACAGTGTGTTTTATATTTCATGCCCACCTTTAATACAGTGCTTTACTCGCACGCTATTTGTTCTAATTTCTCCTATAACCATGGTAACTTGTGTAAGCCTTTCATATTGGCATTATGAGCAATGCATGGAGGCTACATTATGAGACAAGCCCATATGTGATGGGGTTACCATGGAAACACTTACCCACACACTAGCAGACAAAGTACACACTGTCAGACAAAGAAGCAGAAAAGAAGGGGAAAAATTAAGATAGTACCAATTGTGGTAATAATTATCCATAGAAACCCCAACCAGAAGTCTGCTGACCAGCACCGAATGGGCTAACGAGATGAAGAGCAGAACAAACCTTGGCTAGGCTGGCTGTGAAGAGTACACATTCAAAGAGCTCTCCCATCCTCTGAAGAAACTCATCCACATGTGGTCGTTTCAATACATAAACCTGGAATGATAACGACTATTTAGGTCAAATGGTCCTTACGGTAAAAGGAAAGAAAAGAGAAAATAATCAAAACAATACACTCCTATAATCCAAACGCTCGAAGAAACAAAAGTCAACATGGAAGCAGTTCAAATGAAATGCTGAAAAGAAAAAAAAAGTATTTAAGATAAAAGTAGACATCCAATAATGAGAAATTTGAATGCATGGGCTGCCAAGACCCATGCTGATTATGCGATTGCAAATACTGTGCATCATCTGGAGTGATGCTTCTTGAAAAATCTCATTAAAGGCAAAGAGTGACAGTAGGGCTTCTCAAAAAACAAGGATTCAGATCCCTCAACCAAAATGAATTTAGTGCTGGTGTCTTCAGTCCTGTAGAGCTTTACAAAAGGAATAAATCAGATGAAACTTCTATGAGGACAGGAACTGCACAATAGGGAACAGTTTTCTTCCTGTGACTAATTCTTCCTTTTTTTTTTGCTCATTCCAGGTGCCAAACACCGTATCTCACTACACAGTTACCAGCTCTGCAGAGAGGTTTCATCAAAAACCTTCATAGCACCATGCAGAACTTCTAGCAAATGCTGCTTTCAAAACTTGGTGGCAAACGTCTACAGCATCTTCTACTGTGACCTTGCCAGAAAGGTGGCAATACTCAGGATCTCTCCCCTCTGGAACAGCTTGGTTTCAGCAACACTACATTGCCTTTCTGCATTGACAACCAAACGGGCAGCTTTTGGCTGCCTACTTTCAACAACATGATTAACAGATTTTAAAGCCTCCCTGCCTCTCTTCTTAGAGCAAGCAGGATCATTTGTGTTCACAGAAAATACCAAGGTAAGGTATCTGCTGCTCAGAAAGCTTAGGAATAGGTCACAATATAGTGGAAGCTGAAGAGGGAAGTCTGCTTGAATAGTATTTATATATGCTGTTGCAGTTGTATTAAAAGTTTGAGAGAACACCAGCCGCATTTTAACTTCTCTGTTTGGCAAGTAATCCTTAATAATACAAATTTCAAGTGGAGAAGCCTGGCATAGAACTGACTTCAGGAAGAACTGAAGACTGATGCAATTCCATGAATTTCTTTCTTTCATATGTAGAATTAGATTAGTTGTATGTGTTTTACTAGATTCGTATTAATAAAGAGGTAAAAACCAGCAGGGACCCAGAGAAAAACCCTGAAGGAGAAAAATACGGAAATGCCGGCTTGAACTGAAATGCAACAATAAAAGCCTTTAGCAGAAGAAGAAAGTTGCAAAATTGAAACTGAAAACCTCATTCTGAGAGCAAAGTTTTATTAAAAGCATCTATGATAGAGCTGTACCTTCATGACGGAAGCAGAAATGTTAATTACTTTTCCACTTTATGTAGCATACAGCTCACAGCATGAAGACTTTATCTGCTTCAAGTTTATTTCTGCGAAGTATTTCTGGCCCCTCAAATTCAAACAATACATTCAGACTTTGATACAGGTAATTTATAACCCAAGATTTATTTTGTATTTTTTAAACAACCGTAGCACCTAACCAATCAAATAATTGTGACATGTTATCAATTAAAGACAGTTAACAAATGTACTCCAACTCCACTCTCTTTTCAATTACAGCACTTTCCTGTTATTTCACTAGGCATAAACCAAGTAATTTCCTCTCCTACAACAATGCAATTAATTTTTCACTTAAATCTTACTACATAAAGTTACTCTCTAGCATTTCCTTTCCAAATTACATCTTCAATTTAAAGACACGGGTAGAAAGACAATTGCAGTCCCTCTGCATTTGGGTATTTAGGAAAGAGACTATCCCATCTGCCAGTTATAAGAGGAAAGATAGCAGGATGCAAGCTGCTACATAACCCAACAGCTGCTAATGAAGTACTTAAGTCTTCAGCCTTAAATGATATCCTTATACTTATTTTTTAGGGAACAAAAGGGACACTCAGAGTCTTAAAAGTCAGTCTTGGACAGTAAGTGCTGGAGTTTAATATTAATTTCCCTTCTAAAACCTTAGTGTTTACAGCCACAGCAAAAGAAGCCTCCTCTTTTCTCTCTATCCCTATCTATGCCTCTGTCAGTGAAGTATTTCCACTTGGAATGTAATTACAAACTCCAAACCAAGGATATGAACTTTGCTGCTTGCAACATAACTCACCTCCCCCATAAGGAGAGCATATAGTATATCAACCCAGTAGCAACAAACCAAGAGCTCCTTAACCACAGGCTTGCAGACAGGAGCAGGCTTATATAGGCTTATAAATGCAAATATTTGCAGGCTTTTTTCCAGAACAACAGATCTTAATACTCTGGTTATTCTCCTTTATTTTCCTTGAAGTTTTTTTGAGAAGTCCTACTTAGACCCTGGAAGCAACTGCAAGTGTACTGGTATCCTGGGCTACAAAATCTCTTTGGCTTACTTCACATAGAAAGCTTTCTTCAGCTGACAGTGCAGCTCTTTTCTCCTCTTCCTCCTCACTTGGAATTTTTTCCCCTTTACTTTGTCAGTGGCTGGACCTGAATCTCAATGCTGCATGGTTATTTGTGGCTTGGCTTTTTCCTCCGTTGCCTGATGTCTTCAGTTTAAGTCTCTAGACTAACTGGCTCCTGGCATTTTTCTGAGATTTATATACTGTCTTCAGGGTATTAAAAAAAAAACCCAACTCCAGTTTTTCCTGTATTGTACGCTCACTAATGTCTTCCTTATCACAGTAAGAGTTTAGAGGAATACAATCTTTTTTAAAAATAGATTTAAAATAAACCCTGCTCTTAAAGTGCAGGCACCAATCAGGCACTAGGCATGTTTTCACAGGATTCTGTACTTAGAGATGCTAATGGCAGAGCACAAGTAATTACTTTAATTGTTTTCAAGCATTTGGTATTTCCACATACGTTTTCTATACCTCAAAGCAGTCTTAACCGAAAGAGACTGTATTTGTAAAACAAAAAGAGAAACCCAGCTTGATTTTAATCAATTAATTAGGACACAAGGAATTGCCTTTTGAAACCAGCTTTACGATAACAAAATCTTCAATAACGACAAAGAAATCTGCCAATGACAACTCAAGCTCCTGGACTCTCCCGTTTTGTGGGCTGGGTGATCTTCTTAACAGTGAGCTGAAATTAACACATCCTTGAGCCTTGTCTTTCTGGTTCCCACAGTTTTGGTTGCCTCCCAGTGCAAGTAACCAAGAATAGGCCAGCTAGAATGGATACAGCCTATCCTGGATTACTTGAACCAGGCCACAGCCTTCTGTAAGAAAATCAACAAATTCTGTCCTTTATAGAAAGGAAGTTCATTATTTGAACAGTGTTTTCCCCCACCAATAAAAAACATTTTGTACATTACATCCAAAGTATACATGCCAAACATTTAACTTTCAACAACTGAAAATAGGAAATTGTTAATTAAAAAAAAACAACAAAAAACCCATTAAAAAAAAAAAAGGCAAGCACCAAAACCATAAAACTTAGTTTTACTCAGTAAACAAATTAGAGTCAAGAATGAAATTCCACATAACACCAAATCAAACTCTTCCAGGCTGCCCTCTTCACTCTTTGTCACCAACAGCAAGAGACAAAGGCACTGCAAGTGAATTTGGACAAAAGACAAAGGACAACCACACTCCACAAATCTCTACTCCTTACAGATTAATGCTATATTTAACACATGGTTTCTAATCTGGGGTCGTGATTACTCTGCACTTGTTAAATGGGAAGCATGCTGCAAAAGAGAGGCTGTGTTCTCACAGAAGTTATGTCAAGGGTGCCAAACAGGTTAAATATCTTTCTCCAGCCACTGCTTTCACCCTCAGCCACCCCTCACCCTCCAGCCACTGCTTTCACCCTTTCCTCTAAAGAGCACTCTCAGTTGCAACACATTTCACTGGATTTCCCACAGTTTCTCACTTACAGTTTGGTTGAGCAGGGGACCAGCTCTGATTTCCTTTTATTTAGAGAACCCAAAGAGAAATGACAGAACTGGCCAGAGGAGTGTCAGCTTGCATTAGAAATGCCCTTTTGTATCTGTGCCATCATTTCCAACACAAAGTGTGGGATTCATCTCCTGTAACTTTAGCTGCCCTGCAGGCAGGTAGACAGGCACAGTCTCTGCAGGCATCTGAAGCCCCGTAACAGACGAGAGGTGCCACCACACGAGTTATTTCCTTGTAAAATAAAATGACAAATAATTTCTAAAGACAAGGTAAATTAAGCTAGAGAAAGAAAGATGGGAGAGACACAAGGGGTGTTCTCAAAAGTATTTTTTAATGTAGGGAAGCTGGTTTATCCAAGCACCCTTTAAGACAATGATTTCAATTGTCCCCCTTACAGAAGAACAAGAGTCTCTCTGACCTATGGATTACAAATGATATAAGGGAAAATAAGCTCTCCAGACTAAAGATAGCCCTTTGAATGCCTCTGCTGTACAACAAAAAATGACAATATTTACCATAACTAAAGTCATTATATAAATCAGTCTTCTCAGAACTCTTTCAAGCATACAGCAACTGATTTTGCTATGACTTCTATTTTTGGTATAGAAGATCTGAAGAATCTCATCTAATTTCAGATTTCTTTCTCAATGGGCACTTCTGAAATGGTGTTCTACATTTGTTTTCCATGGGGTTCTGTCTGAGGCAGAGTTCAAGTAACCACAACACTCTGTCAAGCAATCTCCTGCTTGGTAAGATACCAGGCTTACTGGTAAAGCAGGTAGGGATACGCACCATGAATAGCACACTCCCACAACACTTCACATACCCTGTGATACTGTAAACAGGTGGAAGTATTTCCCAATGCCAGTGAATAACCTTTTGAGTATATAAACTGCTTAAGAAAACGGACAAGCATTATACATATGACATTCTGACAGATAAAGATTGTTAGTATTGGGTTTTTTATGCCCTAAGTGAATAAGAAATTACAGGTTTCAAGTGGGATCCAGCTGTCAAAGCTCTCTGGCCTGTGTTAGTGCACATCAGCCTAAGCCAGAACATCCACTTTCGCCCTCTGGATTGCAACAGTTAAAAAAGCCCTAAAAGGCTGCTGGATGACACTACATTACTTAGCCTGCAGAGGTATTACAAACACAGGAATCCAAAACTTCACCTATTCTGCATACTGTATAAATTATCTTTATTTGAAAGATCACAAATTCCTTACAATTAACTTCATTTCTACCACCCAGATGCAACCAAGATATTCACGCATTTTGGTGATTTAAAACTTGAAAGACAAAGTGATTCAGCAATTTCTTTGAAAATTACATAGGAAGTCTCCAGCAAAGCACAGTCAGAGACTAACTTCACTTGGCCTTCTCCATCAAGAGCATCCTGCCTCCTCTTCACGTTTAGAGTATGCACAAATCCACTCCCCTTGGCCATTTTTAATTCCCCCCCCCCCCGCCAGCATCTTGAGAGCCTAACTGCATTATGTTTGGTGAAGAATCTAAAAGTTTGCAGTAGGGAAGGGAAAAGCAACAGGCTTTTAAAGCGCTTGACTGTAAAGCCCAAATAGTCTTTTTATTGGGTTTTGTTTCAAGATGCAAATACATAATCTTGACAAGCTGAATGATCACAACCCTAAGCCATTCAAAATTGTTAGGCAAACTATTTAATTCCCTTTCAAAAGCATTCTAGACAGTTTTAAGAGAGAAAATGTTTGCACTACAGCACCAATCACAACTAAAGCCCACATCAAATGAGGACCGACAGTATCACAATACAAACCTCCCAAAACATCACTTATGTGTTTTAAGCATTCAGCCCTGGTGAACATTACAGGTTTAAGTACACGAGACACCAATTTTTTTCTACATAAACGAGGCACAGCGTAAAAACTGTCAAAGCAGCTATCATTTTAAAACATGTTTCAGTCCACTGACTGGTATTTAGTAATTATTTTAAGAGTGACACATGGGCAGTTTTCTTAACAGGAAATCAAACAAAATTATGAATTATCTTTATGATATATCAATTGTTCCAAGAGCAAAATATGAACTTATTTGTCCAAGTAATTCCTATAAAACCAGCATTTTAAAAAATATTTAAAATCTCCATTAAATCACATGCAGATTTGCAACTTAGTAACCGCATTATCTGTAACCTACAACAACCAACAGAAGATGTTTCAAACAGTTCGCAAGATTCATATACCAGAAAGGCTCAGCTTCACGTTAACCTGTATAACCAGTCTCCAGCAAGAACTTTAATGTCTGTCTGAAGAGTAAAATGCATGGCACTGTAATTTAAACCATTCAAAGTTTTCAGAAATGACACTGATTAAAGACACCAAGCCATGATACACAAAGGCGACTGATTTTCAAATTACGGGTGTTTTGCATTTACTGAAAACCATTTCACAGAGTCTCAACTGGAGTTCTTAAAGAGTACGACAAAAATTATTCTCTTCACAATATTGTGCAGAGTTTTTAAAGATGCTGAAGTGTATCAAAAGTCCTATCAGAGGAACTTAAAAATTATTTACAGGAAGAAAAGGGATGGAATTTAAAGACTGACACAAAATCCTACAAAATGTACGTTCTTCCTTAATACTTTTATAATGCTTTGTCCACATGAATTACATGAATCATATGACTGACACTAAAGCCGATTTATGTCCCATTTCTCTGTAGGGGGAATGAGAAATGCAGTATTTGTAGTTTTTTCCTAGGCCCACCAATGTTTGAAAACCTATCCTTCGATCATTTCCTGTTTGAAAATGTTTTAAAACTGATGAAGAGTCAAGTATTAAAGTCCTGAAAGAGATATTCTGGAAATCTGAAAAAGTTAAAATTGAGGTTTAGTAGTTAGAACTACACACCTGATCGAACAGCGATGCCTGTCTGGGTGACAGGCATTCCAGGGTACACAGCTTTTGTATTTCGGAAAAGGGCAAGCTATTGAATGTAAAGCAGCAAACAGAGAAAGATAATCCTCCTTGACACTGAGGACAATACCACTACTAGAACAATGATAAAGGAACAATGGCACTTACCTGATGTATGGTTCCATCAATTTCAACAGGAACGATGAAATCAGCATTGCTAATTGGCTAGAAAGAATGACAACGAAATAAATCAACATTAAAACCAAGATAATCAGAGGGAAAACCTTGAGAGGGTAAAAGAGAAGAGTACTTACTTCTCAGGAACAAGTTAATAAGCATTACCGATTACACAGATACACTCCGTGTGTGTACCCTTTACACACACAAGTCAGAAGCCTTACACAGCTGTATTCACCAAGTACTGAACCTCCCTCTTCTCTCATATTTTGAGGCATCATACAGTGTAATATACTTTACTGCTTGAATAGCTTCCACTCTACCAGCAAGTGTGTTTACCAGGAAAAACATCTATTTGTGTTAACTCTTTCCTCAGGTCTGCGTGGATGATTGCAAAGAAATTCAGCTATGTGCTTCATTTATTTTACTTTGGGACTTCGATTAGTAATTAATTCAAAGTAAAGACAGTGATAAAAGTAATACCTAATGGTTATATTTGAATCAGGAACTATAACAAGCCTTAAGCTGCATAGTTAACTGATTCTCAAGACATAATCCCTCAAGAACATGCTCTATTAATCAAAATAATCATGTAAAACTGCATTTTTAATTCAAAATGGAAGAGCAGGTCCAGTCTGTCAAAGTCCTTGAATCCACTTTTCTACTCTGTTCAGTACAACTTATTTCTTAAGACTTGCTGTGAAAAACTATTGGTCAAGTAAAATTACTTTAGAATGCAGAGAAACAAAATGACCGTAAGAATTCCAATGGAAGGCAACACCCTCTCTCAGTAGCAAGGTAAGAAGGAAGATGCTTTATCTGACATCTGCAAGTGCTGTGTCAGAGGGCAAATGAGAAGGTACACTGAATCTACTTGTCCTGACCAACCAGTATTGGCAATCATACTGCCAGAGCAGCTGAGGCTGGAAAACACCATTCTGTCAATGACCACTGCACTAGTATGATCTAAAGAATTCCCCAAACACACGCAGATACAATCTAGATTTTTTTTATTTAGCTGACATCAAGCTACTTCCAAGACATATCCTCCTTTCTGCTTCTAAAAAGGATAGGGGGAGGCTCCCTTCTGTTACCTACATGAAGCCCCTCAGACAGAAGATACTCTGCATCATCTCTGAGAGTCACAGAACAGGTACACAGAAATGTTTTGAATCTTGAAAGAAACCCAAATGAACTGTCAGAGGCAGGCACCAGTTTTCAAGTGGGTGCCAGTTCTGCGCATACTTTGAAGAGACTTGCACACACTTGAAGAATTTATGTATGCATGACTCCCTCGAGCAAGATAAACATTCTGTAGCAACAGAAAAAGAATAGGTCACTGCAAGTTGCTAAGGTTTTGAAGCCCACTGATAAAACTACAGCTATTAATGAACTTTCTACTTGTTGAAAGTTAACAGGAGCAACACCAACCAGGTGTTGGAGAAAACCACATTCTGTTTAGACAACTTCTTTTGTGCTAACAAATAAAACTCGCCCTTAGACTCTAACACTAACCAAACTACTCTCAACTACCTATTTGCTTTCCCCACTTGTACTTTAGGTACTACGCAGCTTTCTTGTTGGCACAAGCCATACAGAAGAGAGCATGGACTGGAGTTCTGGACTTCATGATGGGAAGACAGGAGAAAACTCTGCAGCAATTTGCTGGATAAAGGTTTCTGGGGTTGCACACGTGAAGCATGTACATGCCTACAGTGGGAACCACAGAGATAAGAGTGAAAGAAGACAATGTATTTCCCATTGAAAATCTTCAGTTAGAACAGTTTCTATTTAATAAAAAGCTTCAGAGTTTTAAATGTTCTCGAAGTGTTTCACAGCCAGTTTTGAATATGACTACATTCCAGACTTGCATGTGGTTTGATTCATTTTATACAAAACCATGTTTACATCTCCTTGATTCAATAAATTATGAATTTTGCCTCTATTATTGTTTTATGATGGGAATGATAACTATACTATCTACTCCTTTTTTACTCTTGCCAAAGCACCCCAAACTTTATTCCTTTAATATGCACTTAACATGAAAGACCAGTACCTCCTTAAAGCTTCACAAATATGCAGGGGCATAAAAAGACAAGAATTACCCTCCTTCAGATGTTACTGCTTTCATAAAAGAGCACTTTAAATATTCTGAGTCTCTGGTTGCGTCAAAGAAAAAAATAATTCTGCATTTGAAATATGAAGCCCATTTCATAACAGAATTATGAATTTTAAAATATTAGGTGTTTTAAATAAAGCCTTTTGTACTAAAAATCACAAATAGATGTACGCTTTTACAGCTTTTAAGTAGGGACCTGCCTGGGAGAGCAGGCATATTCTCGTGGAGGGCAAAAAACCCAAACCAAACCCCAACCTATGAAAACCTGAAAGAAACTGCAAAACTAAATTGATTATTCAAGGCAGAGCAGTGAGCATATAGGTATTAAAACCACTTCTCTTCTAGAAATCCATTGTCATTTTTTGACGACCACAAAGGACTTACTTCAGCTGAAGTATTTCCCTTTATGAAACAAAATCCAAACAGCATTACCAACAGTGCCAGCCACTAACAACTAAAGCTATTTCCTCTGACACTTGGTTTTCTCTTACATACTCTCATTACTGGACTTCACACATTAAGATAATGCCATCGTAGCCATTAAGACTCTAATACTGCACAAACTCCAACATTTGCCTAATGCTGTTTAACTCACACAAAAAAGGACCATTTTTTTCCCTAACACAAAAAATCACTCAGTGTTCAAGACTAAGTAGAACAATCTTTTGATTTTTCTTAAATATCTATTTAACATCATTTAAATACCCATTAAATATCATTTGAATAAATGGGATGGTTAAAATGAGCCCGTTACAAAAGCACTTTGCAATAAAGGCAAACCTCAATCCTGCAAGAAAGGATTTACACTATATGTCAACCATTCAACATGTACTTCTTTAACATGGTTAAAAAAGAGAAATTAAAAGCCACCTAAATTGAATCTCATTTTGTTTCAAAACCCAGAAAAATTACAGTACAAAGTTACCCACAAAATTCAGAAAGCAACTTTTACTTTTATACTTCAGCTAACACCAAGACTAATACTTCATTATTTTCACATAAATGTGGACTTTCAAATTCAGCTTTCCTTCCCTACTTTTTGTCTCTTATTTCATTAGGAAAGCACAGTCCCTCCCCTTCCCAAACCAGCTGTGTTTCTAGTATCCCTAAAAAAACTCTTTAGTCCAAGTTCAGTCTTGGTATAGAAGACAAGGATCTGGAAGTGAGGTTAAGAGGTTGATGTATACCACCACAAATTGTTCTATACAATCAGTCACAATAAAGATAGAGAAGAATCTTACTTTCAGTTTGAGGCACAGAAATATTTGTTCTAGTATCTCCATATAAGGCCTTCTTTAAGTCAACAAAGACAAGCTGTAGCCAAATTCTAACCACAACATGAATTATGGTTTGCATATTTAAATGCTGGCAATTAAATATTGCAGGATTAAAATGTTGAGTTTATGCTAGCAGTGAAAAATGGAGTGCAACCAAAACTAGAAGACAATGAAGGTGGTGGTAACTCGAGCTTGCTACTAGTAACGAAATATACTACTGATTCTTATAAATTCTCAATTCAAAATATGAAACTAGCAGATGCTTTATCATGTTTGACATTTGCTAATCAGAAATGCCATCAGTACTCTGAGCCAATTTAAGTTACTTGTATTTCTGAATTCTCCTATTCTAATTTTAGCCTTAATTAAACAATAGAAAAATACCACTACTTCCACCACATGCTGAAATCTGAAAGATTATATAAGTTGCTTCTAGAAGATGACTGACTCATCAGCAACAGCTAAATGCTAATTGCTTTCCTGTTGTGAAAGCTAAATACGTAAAAAACACTTACTGCCATAGGGACAGCAGCCTGAAAGGGAAAGCAATCTTCTCCAGCAACAGTGCACAGCAATCACTGGTGTCAAAATCTACTAGGTTGAGGTGTATCTACCCAGCATGAAACTGTGCTGAGTTTTTGTTCTCCTAGACTATGACATTTAAACATCAAAAGTAAAATGTGTTTTCAGAGCAGGAAATTTTGTACCTGTTACAATACAGGTTCTTGGGGAACAGTTACCATTTAAAGCTATAGAGTGTAACTATCCCAGGCCTTACTGCAATCTGTGACTTTCTCAGAATCAAGTATATAGTAATGTCTGTGTTACTCCCTTACAGCTAAATTAGTATGAATATTCATAGAAATAACAATGAGAACTACCAGGCATCCTAGGAGAGCCTGTAAGACCGGTTAATGTGTTAAGAGGCTTAACAGTTCCTACAACATTCACTGACAGATTCAAGTTGCAAGGGATCGCTTTTGAATTTTCTTACCTTAAATGAACTGTGCACTAAAGTTTCATCTAAATCAATGACCACACACTTCTTCCCATAGTCTGATGCTGTCAGTTCTGGCAGGAGGTATTTAGCTGGTGGCTAAAAACAAAAAGAAAAGAGAAAGACAACAAAAACCAGTAAAACATCTACTGAAGGGGCACTCTGCCAACATTACTGTTCTAGTATTTACTGGAAACTGAAATACATGACTCTAAGTTAAATGTATTTCTTGGCTCATGGCAAGTACATGTATGGAAATCAATGGCTCATGCAATACTCAGACTTTTCTTTTTTTTAAAATGAAACTTGTTTAGTATGATTTCCAAAGCACTGGAAATTAACATGGTTAAACCACCACCACCAGCTAAAAAAAAACCCCAAAGAAAAACAAGACATTTGGTACAGTATCTTTTTTCAGTGTCCCTCTCCCTAACTGCCTCACTTTTGGTTGCTGCTGTCAACCCATTCACAGTCAATGATACTTCCAGTCATACCACACTGATGGGGACATTTACACAAATTGTTGTTTCTGTCTGCCATGAAAGATGCTAAAGTGGAGAAACCAATCCTGAAGGAAGATGCCATTGTTAATTTTATCTTCCAGGACATGTCTCCACTCTCATTTTTACCACTTGTGCAGGTGCTGACCAACAGCTTTTATATGGATTATGTTCCAATCAAGGTATTAAAAGTGCAGTAAAGAACTCAAACGAGGCTCTTCTACTGTTTTCTGCCCTTACTATAAATTGGTACCAATTACATGAATTGACAATTTTTCTGTAAAGCAACACAGAAAGTCACATACTCTTCTGATTGCTCATTCCACATTTTAACATCTCCATTTGTAATACAGTTATATTACTTTAGACTTTGGTACTGGGTATTTCCCAAAATAACAGAAATAGGAGAGAATGTTTCCCTTTGCAGTGGAAACGCTGCTGGCCACTCCTTTAAAGAAGGGGGTTTTGATAAAGGAAAATGACTAGCTTCATAGAAAAGTTATCAGTAGGGAGAAGCTCAAGACTGAGAGCAAATTAAATTAATTAAGAATTGGATACAGAACTCTAACTTCATTCTTTTTCTAGCTTATAATCTGTTCAGACAATGTTTCTCTGGTAAGGAAGAGTCTATCACATTTTTGCTCTTTCCAGCAGCCTTTTGCAGAGGTGCTTGCAGAGACCTGAGGCCACCCCTTCAAAGACAGCGGGTGACAAACAGATGAGTTAGATACCATCTGAACACCCAAGAGTGCCAGAGACAGATTATTAACCACGGATTGATTTCTTAAATTGACAGATACTGGCCAATGATGCCTGGTAAGATCCTGTCTGAATGAACTAACAAATGAGACTCTGGACTTAAATAGAAGTGTCTTTAGCTAAAATATAAGTTATTGTGAGATTTTTTTTAGAAATGCTCACTTGATTTAGATTTTTTACAATTAACATCAACAACAGTTTCTTTGAGTAACAAAATGGAAACTGCCTTGCTTAAAAGCTGCTTGTGTCAATGGATTTTTTCTCAGCACACATCTGACAGTGACCTTCAATAAAAAATAAAACTTCTGCTTAATGCCTATAAAGTATCCATCCATCACAGTAACTTCCCCAGGCTGGAATTTATAGGACAGTCTTTTTAAGTTACAGACAGTCCCATGTACACGTTACTTCAATAACTGCTTGAGCTCTACCTCCGCTTTTTGAATCCAGGACCAGATCTAAAGAATTTTGGTTTCTCACTCCTATTTTAAAAGTATTTCAAAGGTATTTAGGTATCCCACATCAATTTTTTATAATAAGAAGGATCCATACTTGCAACCTAAACAGATCAAAAGCTTACTGAAAGAAGGTATCAAACCCATTTAAACACAGTAATCTTCAGAACTCGTGTTCTGATACTACCTTCTTGTCTATAAAGATGACAAAAAAGTAGGTACATCCCAAGAAACCTTAAGAGTACTTAAAAAAAGAAATAGTTCAGTTAATTTTTGTACTCTTAAAACTGTTAGTATCTAGTTTGAATTGTTGACTAAATTAACATGCACAAACAGTTCAAAGCCAGAAATTTCTTCTGCTATGTGAATTCTTTTATCAAACTGAAAATATCTGTAGGTGTGGAAAATATATAGAAAAACATATTCTTCCATATAAAAACACACATATGAAAAATATGAGCACTGTTTTATCACAGATATCTGTTATTTATCTGGAAACTAGTATGCCTGTTATCAATAAAAGGTTGGACATACACTAAGGACTACAAAATGTGAGAACCTTCAACTCTGGGAACCTGAATTCCATGAACGCATGGTGAGAAACAGCCCATGCTCATCAAGTTCATCCACCTGTACCTCTGTTTTCTCAAAAGCAGCATCAGGGAGAGAAAAAAGCTTACCCACAGCATCTATACAGAAACACTGGTTACTGCTGGAGTTTCTCTCCCTTTCCCGTACTGCTTTTGGAACAAATATGTAACTACCGACCTAACTTCATCTAAAGACTACACCTCAAGGTTCCTCTTGGAGAAAGTCTCCCACTTCTTTTTTAAAGCTTTGGCTTCTTGAATTCAATCTGATCCTGTTTTCAAAGACACATGGTCAACAGTTGGCACATTTGAAGATAAGGAAAAATAAATATTCTATTTTAAAACCTGTATCTCTGTTACCCCCAACTCTGAAAACACATCTGCCACCCTGATAATCTAAAAGGGATAAGGAAACTGTATTGATGCTGAAGGCAATATAAGAGGCTGCTAAACATAAAGTGCAGGACTTTGGAGCAAGGATGACAATTTTGAGGCTTTAGGAACTTAAAACAATTTGTACCTACAGTATCAGTTAATTTGTTCTGCTGTTCAAGCTTTCTGATCTAAAGCAATTTCCACATGCTGAGTATCAAAGCTTTCAGAGAGAAACAAGCATTACTCAATTTTGTATTTTAATTTCCTCACTAATGGAGACATATCCAAGAAGAGTTCCAATTACCAGCTTTCCATCACAGTTAACAGTGAATAGTTATGGATCTTTGATAACTTCCTTTTTTAAACATAGTAGCTTTAAAGGTATCTAGGATGGATTTAAAGAAGTATTTAATTGTGGCTAACAGACACTCATACTTAATATGCAATACTCTCCCAAAGACTGCAGACTTCCACAGAACTCAGCAGAGAAATAACATGTGCTATCTCAGTACTGTTAAGTCCTAGCTTGGTCTTCAATTCCAACAAGACATAAATTGTATACAAGTTAAAGCTTTTAAAACTAGTCACTGTTTGGGACTTAGGCATTCCAGCCAGGTCTCATGGCTGATCAGCTTAACAGACCTTGTAGTGAAACGACTGCTGCACTGCTTCAGTCTCGTGGAAATAGTATATTCCCTAAGGAAAAAAAAAAAAAAAGGGGGTGGTGGTGGCAAGAAACAGGAATTTTGGTTGAAGCATAAACAGCTGGTCAACACAAACCTTTCAGAAATTTACTGCATAAAACAATCATAACCTTTCTTCCCTGTAGGGCCGTGTTTCCTACAGAGGCAAGTGTCAGAATTAATAAGCCCTTTCTTTGTATACTGGAAATGTTGTCTAGCCTAAGTGCAGCACATTAATTTGCTGTTCATGTTCCCTTCAATTCACACTTTCAGTTGCACTCTACATAGCTGACAGCTTCTCCCAACAGTTATGCACAGAAATACTCTAATAGAAGATAAATTATTCCCACTTAAACAGCTGCCAAAAGATGCTAGTTCCTGTTATAAAATGGGCAGTTCACAAAATTTCTTCTAGAAAAAGCTGTAACATGAAATTGTCTAAGTGTAGGTGAGGACAAACGAAAAAAAACAATATCCCAGTGCTGAGACTTAACTTCTGCGTAAACTCTGAGGAGCAATACTGGTACACTCCTCAATACCAGTTTGAAACTGAACAAAGGAAATGGACACTCCAACTCACTGAAGAAGGTCCATGAGTATGGCTTCGTATTTCCACCTACCTTTTCATTCAAAAGAATGAAAACAAGTGTTGAAGTTGCTATGGGCCTGCTTTTATTTCTCTACCATAGTCCATGAAGGCACAAGCATTCTGAACTACACTTCATATATTTTTAAGTCAAGTCTATCACACTGTGTCAGCTGGTATTGTTTCGTTTTTTTTTTTTTTCCCCAGATTTTGTGTTTATTTTAACCTTAAAAATTAATCGTTTCGCACTATCAGGGAATAAATTAATTATGCTGCTGTTTAATCTATGCCTTATCTGAAAACAGTTTCAGAATACAAGATACAAAAAGGACAAAGTTCATCTTTAGGAAAAAAAGCAAAACCCAAGAGTCAGACAGTTTGCTTTCTGAAGAACCTAAGCAGAAGCTGGAATGATTCTGGTTTTGCAGTTATCTCTATCAATAACCAACTGAAAATTCATATTAATTTGTTTTTAAATTAAATGTAACTCATACAGAAAAAATCTGACTGAGCAGCAGATATACTTCACTAATTCACACATATGTACATAAAGCAATGGAAGTTTTCAAACATGTGACCCCAGCAGGCTGACAGATTTTACACATGCATGAAAACCTTGTATTTTGACTGGAAGCTTCAACTTGAAAGTTTAATGAGTGGGGAGTGGGCAATGCTCTTTTCAGAGTTGCTAAGGAATTATCTAAACATTTGAAGAGATCATACTTGCAATGAGCTCTATGAAAAGTAAACATCTAACTTAACTGTGACCAAGCCTTTAGGAGATATTTCTCCTAGTATGTACAATACATACAGTTCAAATAGCCTATTTCTCATCCATGACCCTTTATGCCTTAATGGGTCTTAAACACACGGCTAAGAGTTGTCTCAGGGTGAACCTCTGGGCTGCAGGACTCAGGACAAACAGCTCTTGTGAGACTGGCAAAGAGGACTGCTTTAGTTTTAGGCATTCTTCTAATACAATGTTACATCTTTGTTCCTACGCTTCCTCCATATGCAGCTCACTTCTGTCTTTATTTAGACTATTACATACTAATGCTTGCTGGCTTCTGTTTGACAGCCAGAAGCACTCTGATACTCGGACAGTAAATGTCACACAACTGCCTGCAGGTGATGGTTGCTTGACAACACTTTCATGTCCTGCTGGAAGAAGGCATCAGATAGCACTGGAGAAGAGGGACGAGTGCATTTAAAGTCACCTGCTCACCGAGAGCTCTAGGCATGACTGCCTTATTAAGGTGCTGGGAATACAGGTCAGCAAAGTAACAGTTGCACTAAAAAAACAGAATAGAAGAAACCTCTTGTATTGTTCATTTTCCTACCACTAAGGGAATCTAACAGAGCACTGCTTTAACAGCGCAAAGACAGTGTTCTGAAAAAGTGTTTCATTTCATGTTTGCACCTGACAAAGCTGTGCTCATTTCTCATTTCAAAATTTTGTTCTGTTTCAATTCTTACTTCTTTAATATCTACACTTAGTTAAAATTTTATTCCAGGTCAGAACACAGCCGGAACATGTTTTATATTTGAAGAACTACTACTAGAGCAACTACAGTCAGTAAACAGTATCTGACATGAAAGGAGAAATTTAGAAACCAGTATTTTCATACATCCAAAGTTTCCTATTCCCAAACTTGCATACATACAAATTATATGCATGTACATGTGTGCATACACATATGCATGCAAACATATGCATGAGATGTACTAGAAGTAATTTCATATTAGAAATAATATGTAAGCAAATAATTAATAACAGTCCTTAAATCCAAGGAAAAGCAGTGAAGGAGGTATGTGATCCACACAGTTTTAGTGAGCTCCTGACACTACTGCTGCACTGCAGCATGGACAGGGCTCTTACGGGAGGCCTTGTAACGTTACAGGAGAAGGAAGGAGAAAGAGGAAAAAAAAAAAAAAAAGGTGTCTTAGGGAATAGCCGCACCTTTAGAGCTAATTAATACCTCAGGAAAGTGGGCTGTGACAGCAACTGCACACATTAGTGCTGCTATTTCCTGGAAAATTCTGCAATAATGAAGTATTATAAACAGCAAAGGAGATTAAAAAAAGAAGATTTTTTTAAAAAAAAAACAAGTAAAAAAAGAGCAGCTTTTTGCCCAAAAAAGGTTACACTTAATTAAATTCAAAGCCTCAGCTTGAAGAACTTTTTTCTTTCCTTTTATTTAGTTTTGAAAAATAATTCAGATGCCAAACAGCATTCCAAGTTTAATCCAAGGAAGATAAGGAGAAATAATAAAGCCCATAAAGCAGCAGATACTGAGAACATCATCTTCAAAGAGTGCAGTAATACAGCTATGGTCAGTGTAGCCTTTGTTTTCCTAAAGTGTCTTGTTTCAAACAAATCATGCAGTTTCTAACTCTTCAACTCAAATACAGGAAAAAATTAGAGGAAAGGGTTTTTGTAACTGTCTCTCATATAGTGCTGATAAGTCACCTTTTGTCTCTATTAAAATAAGCAACTACAACTTTCATGCTACTTGAGGCATTTTCAAAATGACAAAACCCCCAGAAATGAATTTAACTGAGATCCAATACAAAACTCATATAAAACCCAAACTCTTCTTTTAGTCCCTGTACAACACATGCAGTTCAATTCATCTCCAAGTCTACATTACAGACAGAACATAAAATCATTTTATTAACATGCAACACAAAACAGACCTGTTAAGACTGCAACATAAGATGAATCAAAGCAAAAGTTATGAAAATTATTAAAAAGAAAAAGGGATAAAAATACATACACTTGGTATAGGCATGACCTGCATCTGGTCACCCTGGGGAAAAAAAACAAACAAAAAAAAAATCACTGTAAGGGTAATGGCTTTTAAAGGGTAGAACAAAGGTCTGAAGCAGTAAATGTAGCACTCAAACATTTTAAACCAAAGGTTCAAAGTATTCAAGAAACCAGGGTAAAAGAAAAAAAAACAAACTAAAAATAAAACCAGGATCTTGCATTTTAGTTGCTGAAATGATGTTAGTATACCAGTATTCATGGTTTTTAGGAGACTGGAATGGTAAAACCCATGCTATGGTTAATAAGAGATGATAATAAGAAAGAACCTGTATTTACTGTAACTTTTTTCAGCTTTAAAATCTACTAATGGGTATATTAGTCTATTTTCACTGCAGCAACAAGAGGCTTAGATAGATCTTGGTAGCAGGGCAGGAGCTCACTCCTTGAAGTTAACTTCACTGGAGACAACTGCCTCAGAAAAAGCATTTTCAGTTAGGCAACAGCAAAATGTCCAAGAAAGAAACTATGCTCAAACTAATCCAAGGAATCTCTCCCTTCACCCAGAAAGAGGCAACAGTATCAAGTGTTTTTCCCATGGTCTCACTTCTGTATTTGTATTTGGGAGAAGGCAAGACAGTCTTGGTCAACTTGACCTTTTCTTCTCGTCCTGGGACCTGACATATGGACACAAAGACAGCTTCCAAATGGAGAACAGCTAGTAAGGGTCACCAACTCAAATATATGAGGTTTTGGGAAGTAGGAACTGTATTTTCTAATCTCTTAAAAAAGTACTTGTTTTCAGGTGGGCACAAAAAGAAGCTGACCCTTCTAGCCCAAACATAGCTTAGGTAAAAGATTTTATCCTCTAATTACTTGGACAACACAGGCCGCTGACTACGGAAAGTTGTTGGACAACACAGTCCTCTTGACATGGACAGTGGGATTGAGTGCGCCCTCAGCAAGTTTGCCGATGACACCAAGCTGTGTGGTTCAGTTGGTACACTGGAGGGAAGGAATGCCATCCAGAGGGACCTCGACACGCTTGTGAGGTGGGCTGATGCCAACCTCATGAAGTTTAACCATAACAAGTGCAAGGTCCTACACCTGGGTCGGAGCAATCCCAGGCAGCACGGCTACAAGTTGGGCAGAGAAGAGATTCAGAGCAGCCCTGCGGAGGAGGACTTGGGGGTGCTGGCTGATGAGAAAATGAACATGAGCTGGCTTCAGAGTGTGCTCACAGCCCAGAAAGCCAACCGTATCCTGGGCTGCATCAAAAGGAGCATGACCAGCAGGTCAAAGGCGGTGATCCTGCCCCTCTACTCTGCTCTTATGAGAGCTCAACTGGAGTATTGTGTGCAGTTCTGGTGTCCTCAACATAAAAAGGACATGGAACTGTTGGAACAAGTCCAGAGGAGGGCCACGAGGATGATCAAGGGGACTGGAGCACCTCCCGTATGAAGACAGGCTGAGAAAGTTGGGGCTGTTCAGCCTGGAGAAGGGAAGGCTGCATGGAGACCTCATAGCAGCCTTCCAGTATCTGAAGGGGGCCTATAGGGATGCTGGAGAGGGACTCTTCATTAGGGACTGTAGTGACAGGACAAGGGGTAACGGGTTAAAACTTAAACAGGGGAAGTTTAGGATGGGTAAAAGAAGGAAATTCTTTCCTGTTAGGGTGGTGAGGCACTGGAAGGGGTTGCCCAGGGAGGTTGTGAATGCTCCATCCCTGGCAGTGTTCAAGGCCAGGCAGGACAAGGCCTTGGGTGATACGCTTTAGCGTAAGGTGTCCCTGCCCACGGCAGGGGGGTTGGAACTAGATGATCTGAAGGTGCTTTCCAACCCTAACGATTCTATGATTCTATGACTATTGAAAGAGCTGGTTTCAACATTAGAACATCCTCTTCCAGCTGAAAAGTCTTGTGCTCACTTGTTTTGGAGTCTAACATGGTGCTGACGCATCCCTGATAAACAAAAGGTAATTCAATACTATTTTTGAAGTCCTCTTTTTTATTGCTAGAACGGCAGAAACTCTTAGTAACATTTAACCAAAATCTATTGGTTATATATTTCTATAAAAGCAAACACAAGAAATGGTAAGGATCTAAACTTTCCTCAAGGAAGTGGCAAAAAGAAAAAAAAAAAAATATGTAATTCGGCACATTAACGGCCTGTTAGTGGAACATAATCTGAAGTTCATGGGCCATTTCAGAACCGAGGACTTGAGTAGGTGCCAGTCAGATTAGCTGGTGAGCAAACTGTTATCAAGGATATAGTTACACAGGCAGAACACAGATTGTAAATCTGTGTTTTGTTTTGAAGGGCATTTTTTGTGTTCACTGGTGGAGAATAAAATACGACTGAAGCTTCTCTTCTGTCAACAGATGAAAACAGTATATGAGAGTAGAGGCATACTGGCAACTACACTACAAGATTATCTCAATTGTGGACACAAATATAGCTGTGTACCACGTTAGGTTTTCCCACAAACTTCAAGAGGCACTCACTGTGGCATAACTGGCTTCCTATTTCAGCAATCTCTTGAAGCAAGAGCTGTACCCCATGGTATTACTGTTAAACTTCATGACTTCTGTGGGAATCCAGAATCTGACTTGCTAAAAGAGTTGCATTACTGTTTATTTTTCATGCAGAATTTCTTAAATAAAAAACACCAAGGATGAAACGTGTCCTCCTAAGAGGAACCCTTAAAGTATCTATGCCAAAATCAAAACGGTAATGACAACTGGAAGAACAAACAAAGATAGAGGCAAAATTCTGCTGCTAAAGTGTACGCGCTGATGAGCGGGCAAATGCTTTTTAAAAACAAGCCTGCTATGGGAAACTTTTAAAAAGTGTCCTGCCTCATTTCCTGATGTCTTGGAACAGGAAGGGAAATAGGTCATAACAGCATCGTTCGAAATAGATGACAGATGACTGCATTTGTTGAAGTCTTTACATGAGCTCCTGATGCTGGTAACAGGACAAAGCTGTTCCTGGAATGCCAAAATTTCCCTATTGTATCATTAAGATAACCCAGGAACTGATTTGTTCAGCCATTGAAATAAGGGGGTTTATTTTTTTCATGGCACAATATATACAGATGAAATGATAACTCCTATCTTTTCCCTTAGCTACCTAATTTTAGTTTGAGACACACATTTTCTGTACTGTGTCTGTTCATTAATGCTGTCTGTCTACACTTGAGTATAGGATCAATGAGCACTAAGTGACAGGCCATGCTATTTGGTTTTTTTTTTTAGAACAGCTTGTATTCAAAGATAAGGAGCTATTTCATTTTAAAGAATAACCCCTTTAAAGAAGCTGCTGATCAGAACAGATTTATCATGCTCATTCCTTTAACACAAAGCTTGTATTAGACCATGACAGGTTCTTTTAAAAAAATAATACAGCTACTATTTTACTCTTTCAATGCTTTGGAATATTGAGCTTTGTCTCAATATAGAAAACTTTGGGGGGGGCAAGTAAGGTCAGAATGAGTAAGCAGAGAGAGGGGAACAAAACATCGCTAAGGGGGATTCTGTTTTCTAAACAGACCTGCCATACCACATGCTGATGGTGATCAACCATACAAGACACTAGGAATTTTCTTGCTCTGACCAGTGAAGGTTAAGCAGGAGAAAGGGTACTATTACTTGCATTAATCTCAATTATCTTCCTCCACACTGAAGAGTGAGACTGGTTTCCATGTCTGTTTGGAAAGCATGCCATTAATAGTCTCCCCCTCAGAGTCAATGCTCATGTTGCTCCTCTGTGTCTCTTGGATGACGGAGATACTACCTTTGGCCTCAAGAATAAGCTCCCTGCAAGCTATTTTTATTGCTCTGGTGACCCATATTCCTGTGGAACAGAGAAGATTCTTTTTCGTGCACTGTATTATAGAGATCCCTGAAGTAGAGTGTTGGAGACATAACAACAGGTCATCTAAACAGCTTTCCTGCATCACCTTGGAGATGACAGCATGGTGCAGCAAAAAAGCAGTGTGAAGAAGGAGACCTAACTTTTGCAGTGGTTAGGATGGGTGAGGTGGAAATTCAAGGACTTGACCTTTCTGGCTTCATTCCTGTTACAGGGAAAGCAACAGGGGCAGCTGCTACCCCAGGAATAAACCTTCTTCTAAATCTGTCTTCTTCCCTGTTGGGTGTGGATCAGGACCTTCTCCTCTAATCCAACCAACATAAAAAAACCTGTTCCTCATTCATGCTTCATCTTGAACACAAGCCATCTGCCCGATTTGGATCTAACTGTGAAACAAAAGCAAAGATGATTCTAGTGGAAGTGGGCTGTGAAGTGAAATGGCAAAGTGTCGATAGACTTGTCAGAGCTCCCTCACCCACCACATGACTGAAAGCAAAGGGAAAAGAAAGAGCTAGTTTGAATCCAGCATTTCTCACCTTTATCTAGATCCCTCCTTGAAACCTGCAGATGAAATCTGTGTCTGCAAACACTCCAAAATGCCACTAACAAACTTACCCAGAAAAAACAAAAACCTAAATCAAGAAACATGTCCAGAAAATGCACAAATTGAGTCAAGTTGCCAACTGAAGAATAGAAATTGAGATTTGAATTTATTTAGGGGAAAACAAAAAACACTTCCCTCTCCCAACACTGGCCCCTAAAAATAAAATCCTGGCTGGGAGGTGTTGGTAAGCTGCCTGCTGCTGAGGAGGCAGGAAAAAATTAGCAAGGATTTCATGAGTTCTGAACATTATGTGCTCCCAGTGACACATCTGGCTCAGGATCCAAGCTGCAGATAGGCTGATATACCCACTGTAATTGATACTGCATCTTAGAGTACATTTTTCTGCTGCACTAAAAAGCTGATACATTTTAAGAAAAACAAATATATGACAGTTTCAGTAAATACAAGTTATTATTGAAAAAATGTTGTATTGAAACTTTATAGAGACAGAATGGACCATTCATTACCAGTATTAAAGTCACACTTGGACAAGCAGCTGCTCTGTGAGTAGAAGGTTTAAAAATTAACTCAATATTTTAAAGAAGTTTTTGGGATTTTTTTTTTTCCTAACAGAAGTCAGCGCTTGAAAACCCCTGTTTATTCAAAAACATGCTCAAATTAGTGTTTCTTCCAATCCTACAAAGAAGTGACTTGACAAGCATAATCAAGTCACATTATTTGGCAAGAAACTAAATGAAGCACTGATATATCTCAAGCACTGATTTCATGTTTTCTAATACAGCAAAATAATAATAAAAATTAAATCACACAACAAAATTATTCTGAATAATATTTCAGAACTGTGTTTTCAATTTCTAAAATACTCTTCCCTGCTTTCCCTCCTTTACAACAGGTTAGCATTTAAAGAACTGAGACTCCTAATTAGAAGGAAGTTAGCTTGTCACATCAACTTCAAATGTCAAGAACATGCCAGAAGCAACACAGAACAAACACTGAATTCCTGTGAAACCAGCAGAAGCTTTCTCCATTCCTTCCCTTCCTCTGAAGTTTTTATCACTGATTTTCATGTAACTCTACTGAACAATAAAGACAGGAGGAAAGTACATCCAAGCCAATTTAGTTTCTAATGGTAAGTATTTAAGATTATAGTGCAATTTTCTTTATCCATTTTTAAAGAAAAGGGTCACAGCACATGAACTGACTGGGCCAGGGTCAGAGCTCACCTGTGAGGTGATAATTAATAAAATATACCAAAAAAAAAAGATAACAGATACAAGTCAGTGACTATTTGAACAGCAGCTCAACAGAATTTAAACTATTCTAACCTGGCAGTCAGAATAATGCAAAATCAGCTTTAATTAAACAGCAGAGGAGTTTAAGCAATGTGTTGCCAGGCTTTCTTCTCCCCTGCACCAAGTAATTTTGCCATTCCTGGATATTTAATTTTATCAATTTAGAAACTGAGGCCCACTGCTGCATGTACTTTCCCCCAACTTACTTATCACTTCTGAATCTAAACAAGATGCTCAAGTGTAACTTGACCAAATTCAACCAGCCTGCAGTTTTAAAACACAGCTCTCCTGGTAAAAAGCAACTAGTCTGACAGTGTAACAATACTCAAATGTACCCAAGTCTTCAATCTCTTTTTCTTTAAAAGAATTTCCTACTTACACTAACTGTCTTTACACTCAAAACAAAAAGAGCATATAAAACCACGTAAAAATGTTATTAGAAATGTCACAGACTTATTTCCACTTAAGAAACACCCAAAAGCTTTACTTCTTCTGCAAAGATTTGTAAGCATCTGAGTGCCTTTCATTCTATTTAAAGAAAATACAAACATATTCCTCCTTTTTTTTCCTTCTTTTTTTTCTTTTTTACTCTGTTAAGCTGTAGTCTGGTAATCATACGAATTCCGTGATTTTTGTCTTGGGCTTGTGTATAACTGTTGCACAACTTCAAAACTGTTTACTAAGGTAGCAAAGAGTGAGGATGGAAGCTTATGTGAATGTACATGCAATCACTAGCTCAAGGCGTAAGATATATTTAGAAAGTAATTAAGTGCCTTACAAAATGCAGCCTGAAAACTACTGACATTAGAACATTTTAACTCACATTTTCTACAGAAAAAGTAAACTTGTTTTATGTTTTTCTTTGTCATGAACTCCCACTTTCTCTTAGTTTTAATTTTGCCATTAGCAGCCTTCCTTCTTTCCATTCCACAGCACAGTGGAAAGGGAAATCTTGCTAGTTTCCCATTCCTTTGTTTCTCAGGTGAAAATGTGCACACAGGCTACACACTACTCAGCTTTTCCTTCAGCATAACCAGGCTAGATTTCCCTCATTTCAGTAAAAATGTACTTTGGCTGGCAAAATAAGCCTAAAAATACACATTCAACTGCTCTTGGCAAAGGAATTTCAGTGCACTTCACCTCTACATGAGCAGTTACAGCATGAATCACTGCAGTTCAGACTCCACACATATTCTCAGCCTCCATCACTTGAATTTGCTTTCCGTTCCTCTCTCCCACCAAACAGCTCCTCTGCTCTCTCCTGAGCTCTTCAGAATTAAAACATAGCAGCAAAATTCAAAACAAAAATAAAATGGACTGGACAAGGCAAGAAAAAGATCAGCTGCATCAAGCATAAAAAATTATTGTGAAGAGCAGAAGCGTGAAAAGAAAAGAAACACTTCCATTTCGACCATTATTCCCCATCATGGATAATCCTGTATTTGCAATCCTTTAAAGTCCTAGAAAAGTGCAAGCGGAATCGTGTTTCAAGTGAGAGTACGGGACTAGTGGAGTTTTGAGAGTGCAGAAAAACAGTGTGGTAATGGAAAAGATGGTATTCCTATGCTTGCTATATCGAACTGAGATCCTTCGGTTCATAACACAAATGCTCAGTGTTATCAGATTTAAAAAGAACATAAAATCATTTGTGTTTTGATTTTATGAATATGTTAAAGCAATATAATTGCCAAAATTCAATGAAAGCAACATGCTGCTCTCACATGCAGTGCTTTGAACTGCTGAATATTTCTATCATTTAATTTATTAGGTAAACGAAACTTAATAACCTGGAAAAATGGCCAAAAACTGACACCTCTTAAGGGGTTAGAAAAAAGGTCCACACAATGATGTTCTCCCCATTCTAAACTGGTTTTATGTCACTGAAAACCCTTTCAACTGACATTCAAAGAGGTTCCACTACACTCCAGTGGACACATTCTAACCTTCCTGTAGTTGGGAAAGAGAACCAAAGCTACAGACAACTCAGCATCTCAAGTTTTATGAGAAGTCCAAATATTTTTAGTGTCTTATTCAGGTTTTAAATGATGTTTGCTTATCAAATGAATAGTGTCAATACCCTTCACAAAAAAAGTTCCATTTTAAATTGCAGCTGACTAGATAGTATTAGCAATTCCCCACCAAAATAGTATTTTTTTTTCCTGTAATAAGTAAAACATTCCCCATGAGGGAAACCTATCAAGGCAAACCTCCAGAAGCACAGAGTTAAAAACCTTGTTTACAAGAGACCCATATAAGAGCAAAGTAAGACAAAGGCCTTACCTTCTGAAGTCCTCCATTCTCCTCCACCAAAGGAGGCAGAGCACTGGTGCTGTTGGCAGATGGTGGTTCGACATTGTAGTCACGAAAGCAGCAGAATAAGGTGCTAAAGATACTTCGACTCCTCTGCTTCTTCAAGCTGATATTACATTGGGACACTAGGAGACACAAAACAGACCAGAAGAAAAATAAATTCATGTAGCACAGACCTAGCTTTCCAGACTATGACTGAATTTAAGGCTAGTACCTCAGAAGTCCTTCTCAAGTCTTAAGATAGCCTCACAGAGATTTTCCATCATATTGAGACCCCCTTCCTCATGTTTCAACACATTATTTTCTTGTCAAACTCACATGGTGATGTTAGTCTATTACTAATCAACCTGGATCTCTGTACAATCAAAGGTCTTGCCATACTAAGGTAACACACTTTGAGTTTTCCTAGAAACATCCAGATTAGGTACTGTAAATTACACAAAATGCTTCTAAATGTGTCTCTGGTCTGAAGAAGCAAACTCATCTAAAATAGAAGAGTATGCAATAAATGCCTACTGATGCCTGGGCACATTTTCTAGCCTAATACACGATCATGTGTGTAACACAAACTCCTGCAAGGGTCAAAAAAAGTTTCCTCTGTTACTGTTTGACAACATTGTGGAGGAGAAAAGACATAACACAGACAGCAGCACTGTGGGCTGTAACACTGGCTACAGAAGCAAAACTGGAGAGGGTGTCACTAAACAAAGTCAGGAGTCCTGGCTGTTCTTTTCAACTTGCTTACAGATATTCCAGGATAAAAAAAAAAAACCCAAACCAAACAAAATAACAAAAACAAACTGGTAAAAAATTGCATACAGCTCAATAAAAGTAAGTGTACCATTTTTAAAGACTAACAACTCTAGATATAAGTTTGGAGAAAAGAAATGCACATAAGACAGTCAGTGACTTCCCCAAGATGCAAACTCCTAAAAAAATAGATCTTGAGCGCACATTGAAATAAAATGAGTTGGCAAAAGTTTCTAGAATACTTTAAGTAATACTCCAGTTGATCACCATGATTAATGATCTGTTGTTAGCTAGAAGTGTGTATTTCCTACTTCGAAGTGCTCTACCTGACAGACTCAGCACTCTTCCAGGGCAGGGCCAGGCAGGTGCACCCTTTTTATCTCATGCCCTTTGTGCAGCCCTTTGCCTTTGATGTTTATCTGAACCACTGCAACACAAGGTACTGAATGCTATCAATACTCAGCTTGTTATCACACCAACACAGTGTGGCAACCATGTCATGTTAATCATGTAAGTAACTGCTCATTACCATGAATACTGTGCAAAACCACCATCCAGACCCAGACACCCCCCTGCTGTACCTTAGCCAGGACCCACTTACCCTTCTTATCCTTAAGCGGAGGAATATTTTAGCCTACAGAGATTAATGGCTTCCTTTTCAAGTCAACAAATGATTTGATTTAAAATACATGCCCAAACAAGTTATTTTCAAGTCCTTTCTCACAGCTATGCAGCAGCCCATCTCAAAGTAGCAAACTTTAAAAAGTGAATTACACTGAGAAAAAAAAAAAAAGGATGCTATCAAAGTTGTGGATTAATCCACTTGGTTCTACACATCACATAGTTTCTTTACATTCTACACTAGAAGGAACAAAACGCTTCCCCTATCCCAAAGTTAGAGGGTAAGTGAAATTCTTAATAAGTCCCATTACACATACTGATATATAATTACCTATCTTTCCTTCCTTCCTCAGATTTAGGAACTGACACATTCATCTACCTTCTCTCGTATGACAAATACCTCGCGCAATCAAGGCAATTGGCAACAGAAATACAAATAATACAATTATTAATCTATAAAGAAAACTTCAGTGAAAGAAGAACTGTGTATGAGATGGAACAGATCTCCCCCCATGGAGACTTAAGGGATACCAACATGCTTTGAAGGTGCTCAGGTACATGTGTCTGCTTTGACAAGAAAGCCTCATGGTGCAGATTTTGAGTGAACTGCCAAGCACTCTCTGAAAAAAACATAAAATCTTCTGATTACGTAGGGTTGGCATAAACTACCCATCAATACTTTCTCCTCTCAAAGCACTTGCAAGGTGTCCAACGGGTCCAACACTTAACATTCTGTTCCCTGTATAGTGCATATTCCCATATTTGTCAAAATACGTATGAAGGCAGTGAACAGTGCTTATGTTCAGTTATTAATTGCTAATAAGAGGGAAGTGTACTTGTATCAAAAATGAAATGGTTTTTAACTTTCACCATTAAAGAAGTGCTCAGATAACAGAACAGTCAGAATTGTGCAGATTTGTGCATGTTTTGTGTGTTTAAGGAACTGTTTCTTCAAAGACATTTGTAAACCAAAGCCAATCTAAACACTGCTTTTCAACATTTCAGTTAAACAGAAAACTCTGGTCATTGCTCTTACAAGTTACAGTAAAAGACCCATTCTCAAAATGTCACATTCTTTTTGCAATGAATTTGCAGAAATGTGTCTAGAAATCCCTGAAGGATACCTGTATAGCTATGATGGACTTTTGCAAAACAGCTCTCAAGAGAACTAGAATCACAAAGCACAAGGAAGTTTGCTGCAGTACCATTCAGGCAGAGAGAACTGCTTTCTGACCTTGAACACTGAAATATGCTGCAATTATAATGGGAAGCATAATGCTGTGTCCTGCTCCCTATAGCTAGTGCCGCAGAAGCCTTTTAATAATTTTCGTATTTTATTTTCAGCTTCTACTTAAAAATCTGACAGCAAATAATCACATCTGAATGCTTAAAATAGAAATGCTCTTTTTTTGAATGAAAAAAACATTCATCACCAGCTTTTGTTTTCCCTGGACTTAGTAAGGTACAAGACTGTTAACATTAAACTTCATTCTGCAAACAATTTTTATGCATAAAATAGTCCTCCAAAAGCCAAGACTGTCTTTTCTAGTAATAAAACAATATTATATTCTATAATTTCTAAATTCTAATATTTCTATATTCTTATTTATATTCTAGGCTGGGTCTGAGGTAGGTCTTCAACATTTCTATCAAGTTCGTAAAATGTTAGTGTTAAGCAAGAAAAACTGATTACCAAATGTTTGCATAAGAAACGTTGCAAAGTACTCCTGAGCCTAGTCTTCAGGAGGTTAATGAATACAAAGAGCATACAAGGCAAAAATTTACCTAAGCCACGTCATGTTTGCCCCAAACCTTGTAATGCTGAAGATCAAACCCAGGATTGGCTGGACATGCATAGAGCCATGTTAACAGCTTACGGGATGAAGTCCCAAATTTTCAAGAGGCATGATGCCCAATAAACACTACTGCATTTAAAGGAGAGAAGGCTGGGATGTCACATGGGCTCCTATGGTTACGGCTTTATGAGGATGCCCAACAGCTAGGAGATGTTTATAATGGCTCGTGCCACCCCCGCTCCCCATCTCTAGTGATTCCTCAGATCTGTTTCCACTTCGCTGCTCTGAGCTGCTATTTGCAGCAAGCCTTTCAATCAGGTATAAATTCCAACAGCGGTTTTAATTTCATAACTTAAAGTCTCAGCTGTACAGCAGATCAGCAGGAACATCACCACCATTTAAGAACCAACATTTGTATCTTTTCTACTTAGATGACAGAAAGAGGCAGTAAACAGTAAATAGTCTAAATAGACATTAAAAAAAAAATCTCAGACAAAAGCTACTGATTTGTTCAACTCTTTTAAGAATACTTGTCTTCTGTGATCAAACTGTACATTTTAAATCTGGCCACTTGCCTTCACTAAGTGAAATATTTGTTCTAGGAAAAAGAATCCTCCATGTTGTTTTTCATCTTGCAATTTTGCCATTCATAACACAGCTGTGTTTCAACAGGTCTCTCCACTAATTCAGATGTTATTTTAAAGAGATCAAGGTTTGGGTTTTTTTAATACTATATTACAGAGACTTTACTATGACTTAATAAATTATAATTTAGGGTGCAGTAAGGAAGTTCTCAAGTGGCTTTATGTGCCATGCTGTATTAACACACACAGGTATGTTAAAAAGATCTGCATATCTCATTTTTAGCAACTACAACAGTGATGTGCATCACAGAAAATAGTTCCTCCTTCCTTAATTACACTGGCCCAATACATGCGCTGTTTGCCTTTCCTAAAGCAGTGATGGCACAAATACAACTAACTCTGAAGGTGTAAAGAAGCGTTAATACTAAATTAGTATCATAAACTCAGCTATTCTGGATGCCAGCAAATTTTAAAGAGAAAAAACATGCAGAGGACAGAACCTGTCATTCCTTAAAAGCTTCATAGTTAAGAGCAGGTAGCAATGATACTGGAATGGGAAGCTCTGTTATCTAAACTCAAAGTCTGAGCAGCAGCCAGCATATGGAATTTACAGGACTTTTTTTTATCTCCACCTTTTGGAAGTTACAACCTTGATTTCTGGAACTGATTTCCTAGGACACCCACAGAAGTACTATACTCATTACCCCTATCACCACTGAAGGCTTAAGACAACTTTAAATGACCTTTTATATCTTGAACACTGCATACCAACCACATAAATTTTGTGCACCAAGAAAGCCCAGGCAAAACAACTTCACCATATGACAACATATTATCTGTGAAGACTGTAACCAGCAGATATCTGCAGAAGAGGTGAAGAAAGGAGCAACGCAAGACTGGGGCGATGCTTTCCCCTAACACTCCCCCAGGTGCACTGTAACTGCAGTTTAAGGACTTCTTACCTGAAGACATCAACTGAGTATGCAACAGTCCTCAACAAATTCCTCTTTCATGACATTGTCCCATCATGTTTTGAACCCACACCAACTTCTAGTGTCAAAAGTATCCTGGGGCAAGAAGGTCCACAGGTGAGTCAGCAGTTTAGCTGTTCCTTAACTCTGACCCTACTTGTTTCTGATCTTTGTACGCTTTCTAATATTTTTCAGCAGGAGAACCACAAGAACCACAGGATGAAAGATGAGCACTATGAATTTACACACACACAAAATGCTTTCTTCTCTTACTTTTCTGATAATTCCTCATATCTTGAGTTTTACAAGATAATGTGATTTTTCAGAAGTTCTATTTTAACGCTAAGATCTCTTCATTATTAGATATTTCAGGCATCACTGCAAATGTAAGTCAAGAATTATC